TGTCAGATCTTACCTTTGAAAACAAAGTTGTAGGCTTCATCAGACCCCATACTGTCACTACTGTAAGCAGATCTTCCTTCACTAATCTAGATCAGTGCTGCATGAGTCAAAATCCCAATCAATTCCAAGGAAAACCGAGAATGAAAGTTCCTCCTCTCTATGCTACAGCGGCTGACCTGAAATAGCAGAGAAACAGTAAGAAGTACGAATGAAACCCCACCGTTTATGGTGGACAGTTCAGTTGTTTGTACAAGGAACTGGCCTTGTTATTTAGCCTGGCAGTTCCGCTATCAAATGTGCCGTACCTGGGGGAAGGTGGGCGTGACTTTTGGTGCGCTCAAGTCAGGTCAAACAGGTAGGGCGAGCACAGGTGCAGTCATATGAAACTGGGTGCAATAGTGCACCTGTTCAGCCAATGAAACCACGACATACACACCATATGCAACCAATCGCTTTTTTTAAGCAGTTTCTCCCAAGATCAGGAAGGCATTTGCCATGGAAGAGCCCCTCCCATGGTGCATATTTTGGATTATTGCTTGAACCCAAATATTATACAGAGTTTCTGCAGGTTTTATGAAGATAAATTTAAGGCTTTTTAAGACCGAGTAAACAAAATATAAGGAATAAATAGAATGGAACACAAAACATCATTATGGTCTCTAAGTGTAAATTATTTAAGCTTATGACTCGAATGCTTTTGCTCCCAACCACTAGAAATAACTTTTACTGTACCTTCTGATCACGCTACAAAAAAACCCCCTCATGTTCTTTATCAGTATTTTTGTCTATTTTCCAGTACAAATGTCTAAAGATTCTTAAACCAAGATACATTTACATTAGAAACGAAATGACATAAAATAGGGAATCTTGTTTTCTGAGAAATGGATCAAAATGAAGTGTTTATGATTTAAATTAGAACAAATATCTGCAATTTAATAAAAAAAATGGGAATGTCTTCATACCCCATTGACAGATATTTGTTCTTGTTTTAAGTATAAACTCATTTAATTTGGTTCATTTTCTCAGAAAACAAGACTTCATATCTTTTTGCATCTTAAGTAAATGTATCTTGATTTAATGATGTTTAGATATTTGTACTGTACATTGTATGCAACATTAAATGTCAAGAGTTTCTGAATTCAAGACTTTCTGCTCTGATTTAAGATATTTTATGGCCTTAATTTGCAATAGTGTGACTTTAGACCTATTTCAAAAAATACAGAAACCCTGATTAACAAAGTGATAAAGTGATATTTCATCTTCAGATACATTATTTTATACAATGTATTTTTTGGATCAATTAATATTATTCTAGACGTAATTAATAAAAAGCATCAATTTCTTGTGTTTTAAAGGTAAAACAACAACAACATGTAACAAAAAGAGGAATTTATTTAATATTGTTGACGCTAGACACAGCCTGATCACTGACTGCAAAAATTCTGAGACAAAGAAAATATAATAAAAAGGGAAAATGCAGTTCAAAAGCAATTATTAATGTTTATGCAAAGCATTATTTTGGGTCTAATAGCCACACAATTTGATATAGCAATCATACGGAGTATGCAAATAAATAAAGCCATAGATAATATATTATAAAGGCCAAGATCTTCAGAAGTTTCTGTTTCAATGTACAGAAATACACAAAAGTACATCCTATGATGCTGCCACTTGAGTTAGTGGTTCCTCGAGGTACTGCACTAAAGCTTCAGCCTGTGAACATAACAGACACAGTTACTATGATTGTTCATGAAAATACATAATTAAGAGCTATTTTATATACACCAAATCTCACCTTGGCTTTAAGCATCCCAAAGCCTACCGTCTCCTTGGCATACATGCAAAGCAACAAGTTTGCAACACGTGTAATGGCCACCCTGCCCTCCTGCAACAACAGAGAAAATGCAGCACATTATAAAGGAAAAATTATTGTAGAACAATACAGCAGTTCATCATGTTAGTATTATTTCTGGCATGGTGTAATTTCAAAAAAGCACATATGTTTGGTAAATCCAGACACGGCCTATAGCATCTGCTGTGCTGAATTTGTGCATATCTTGTATAATGCATATGTTATTGCATATATCAAAGATCAGCATTCACAATCATTTACTATAACCCAACTGTACAATGACATTCCTACCATACAATCCATCAGGATGAACTTCAGTTTGTCCTCATTAAAGGCCTGGTGTCCGTTTTTGTCGTAAGCCGCCCAGATGTTGCTGGCAATGGCTGCAGTGACTCTTGCATCAGTGTCTCCATATCCAGAATACGCCAATAGAGAGCCTTCATTATTCAATAACCTAAAACAAAAAACACACACACAAAAAATGATTACATTTTTTTTTTTTTTTAAGTAGCCTATATACAAGAATTGAACATAAATTCATAAACAACTCATACTTTGACCTGTAAAGTGGCCTGCAAACAAAATTTCTCTGACCTAATTTCACTTTTCTTCATGATTTTTTTTGCACAATATAGGGCCTACACCAGTACATTCAAACTGAACGGATGTTTTGGTGTTTTCTGTGGATGTATGAAGTCAGTTCTCCTTGAGTTCACACAGATAAACATTAAACAACACATATATTTTTGTGTAATGTTTGTTCTTTAAAATGGTGTGTGTGATATATTTATTTAAAATAATGGGATTTGACTTGATATTTAATCTAATGAAAAAGATATTCCGATATTTCTAAATATGACTACATAAACATTTTTAATTGTTTAACATGCATTAAGCAAAGCCCATACGCAGCAAAATACTTTACTTTTAACTCGAGAGCATGTTAATAACATAAATGTACAACATATTATTGTTTACCAATTTATCTGCCAGCTAAAGCTACTGATAAGAACAAAGAATTAATTTTATATACTCACAGCGTGCTTTGTACGCCACTGGTGTTTGCTTGACTGAGTAATTGTGTTAATGCTTTAGGACGCAACATAATTGAAAGGAAAACGGCAATAATGCTAACACGTTAAAAATTTACGCGAGATTATAGCAAGAACTTCCAGTTCCAGCAACCCAACAAGAACATCAGCTGACTTCGAACTTCCGCGCTGATGATTCATGGGAAATGTAGTGTCATGGCAGTGCCTGCGAACTACAAAAACGTGGCCTAGACAAAAGGGACTTTGGCCTAGAGATCAAAACTGAACGTAACATGGATGATTGATTTGTTTTCGGGTCATTAATAAAACAAAAGAACGACGAAACCAACTAAAGTTATATATATACTGGAGATATATAAATGCGTTATAAAATAGAAAATAATGTGTAATATAAGTATAATATATAGCCTGGCACGGATTCAACCGTATGAACAGCTCGTATTGTGTAGATAGCGTCCACTTTAACTATTAATTTATTTTTTTAACTTTCTTTTGGGAGGTGAGGGCAACAACCCCTTAGGTTAAAATTGTAAGGGTATTCAATCTTCAACTAGTTCACCCTCATTAAGTCACAACCTGTTTACAATATACTGTAGGCTACATATGCACTCTTAAATATTAATGGCCTTTATTGGCTTCATTGGTTCCACGAAGAACCTTTAACATCCACAGAACCTTTCCAATGCATTAATGCATTATTTTGGGGGAAAAAAAGGGTCTTTAAATTATTGAAATGTTTTTTACACCAAGAAAAAAAAAAGAGGCACATTTTAAGAATTGTTAACTGAAAGGTTCTTTGAGGAACCCAAAACGGTTCTTTCATATCTGCCTTCACCCTTTTGTACCTTGATTTTTAAGAGTCTATGATTTCCAGACTTTGTTACATAATTTTTTTAAGTAATTGCACCCACAAAAAAGCACATTTTACAGCTAAGCATCAGAAAATCAAAATTGACTAAAATATTCACAATGTTTCCAATCCTGGTGGATTGGAATTGGTCTAATCCAATTCCAATTTTAAAATGTCAGATTTTCAGTTCTCATATTGTGTTAAGTAAATTAACAAAAAATTTGATTTTTTAAAAAGTTAAGATGTCTACCTCAAGCAGTCATAATGACTAAAGCTTTGTGATTGTGAAATTAAATGGTTATATAACACAACAACAACAAATGACTTGTGTGTGACCTCCACATTAATTAGACAATTAAAAATATTGCGGTTATAAGAGAATGATCATGCAATCATTTTGAAACTTTAAAAAGTAAAATTGCAATGTGTCATGCAGCCCAGCATTGCAAATATATATATTTTTTTAAAAACATTGGATTTAAGACAAAACCAGATGCTAGAAGGAACTACAAACCCCAATGAATGTTGGTTTCTGTAATGTAATTCAAGTAGAATAAAGAGTGGATTATGGACGTGCAGCAAAAAAAAAGTTAAACACATTTTAAATTTACAATAAAAATCTGTAAGTTCCATTAGACAGCTGTTGGTTAGCACTGAGAGAAGCTAGCGTCACGATCACGCTGTAACCCATTGGTATTTTTGCCAGATCAACTCGAGGATGATGTATCCAGTACACAATACAAGTGTGTTCCAGGCACTAGAATACTTCTATATCAAAGCATAAAGATATGGTCGAAACAAATGGTGTCTACATTCGCCACTGCTTGTTAAGCTGAGAAATATTTTATTGATGCTTTGTTACAACCTTACCCATATGACAAGCCTTTACGGTCAATTCATGTACACTCCTCACAAAGCCAAATGACTAAAGAGATGGCTGAACAGCTTTTCCAAATCTCATCTCCAAAACTCATTCCTTTCTAAAATAGCTGAAGTGTAAGCGACCAGAGTCAAGGTGTTATAGTGCTCCAACATGTTCATGTCTATTAGATTTTGATTAACACATCAAAATGTCAAGGAACGCTCAAATCAATGTCAACTGAGGAGGGTGGAAAGGGAGTAAAGGGTAAGCTCTACGTTTCTGCAATAAATACTGGTTTGATCAGGCATGAATTAGAAGAAACAGAAAGAAATGAAGGAAACCAAGCATTTTCACAGAAGACAAGAATCCCTCTGGGCCTCGGAATTCAAGCGTATGGATTTTATTCCCCTAACCACCGAGTAGTGCCTCAGGTGAGTGTGTTCTAATTGTAAGGAATGGTAACTCAAACTTGGTTCAAGCAAAATGTAAGCTTTGTCCCATCTTACTAGTTGATGAGAGGTTAGTGTGATGTCATTCCACAGCGATTCTGGTTTGTTTGTTTTTTTTCAAGGAAACAAATTTGAAACCCTCATTGCTTTTTGATTCAGAGATTGAATGATCGAAGCAAAAAAACAAAACAAAAAAAAAACACGATTGGAGTAATTGGAATTCTGTCTATGTGGGGCTTGTCAGATTTTATGTGATGAGGACTATATTTGCTTGTCTCTCTTTGCACGCTCTCAGTTGATGGAATTAGGAAGGCTGAGAGCCGAGCAGTCTTTCGATGGCAGCGTTGATGTCACCCCCGGTGGCGATGAGGGCCTGAAGGTTGGCTTCCCTGTTGATGAAGCCCATGGCACTCAGCTGCTCCAGCTGTTGCTGAAAACGCACTTCCGGAGTCGGAGTCTGCAAAGCGAGGTGAGAAGTAGTGAGTGCAATCAAATATACACAGCACACTCAGTGTTTCCCAATGTTGCACATTTTAAAGTCTGCTCCAGCCCAATTTCAGTGTCTAACCTGAATGGAGTAACAAGTCTCTGCACTGATTTGTATCTGGACTCCAAACATCTTTTCAGTTCAGTCACACTGATTTTAGAAATGCCAAAGAATTAGAATATAATAATAGTTATTATTACAGTCTGATAGTTTTATTAGTAATGAGAACAATGCTCAGATTTCTACTAAGTCAGTAATATATTATTATTGTATTACAACTGCACTGTAAAATAAACAGAAGTGAAAACTGAATATTTTGTATTAAGCATATTTTACGTTACAACTGGGAAAATTACAATAGTTTTGTTTTAATTTCTTCAATTGCGAGAGTGAAACCCTCAAGCTGTTATTTGTGGAAACCTGCCATTTCTGTGAAAACAGGTTCTCGTTACAAATCTGTTGAAATACTGTAATAATCGGTCTACAAAAATGTTAAAAACGTGGATCGCAAGCAAACGGTGCACCTTGCCTTGAAACACTTAGCACAACAGATTATACACTTAATTAAATCACAACCTTTTGCACTTAGGGCACTATAACATATTGTGCGTTTGATTTCTGTTCACTTGACAGATGCTTTGCCGAAGAAATGGCAAAAAACACATCGTCAAAGACATTAAGTTATTATGAGAATGTAAAAATATTAGTTTCATTTTGAAACTGTGCCAGGACAGATTAGACCAGGGATCCTCAAATCTGGCCCATGAGATCCACTTTCCTGCAGAGTTTAGCTCTAACCCTAATCAAACACACGAGCATGCTAATCAATGTCTTCAGGATCATTAGAAAATCACAGGTAGGTGAGTTTGATCAGGGTTGGAGCTAAACTCTGCAGCGCATTGGCCCTCCAGGGCAAGATTTGAGGAACCCTGGATTAGATTGTAGCAGGCCACCAGAATACAGGTAATTAATGGGCAACACTGATAATGTTATTAACAACAAAAAAACGTAAGTACCGATGCATTCCCTCCAGCAAACATCTGTAGCATCTGTTGCATGAGCTGCTGCTGGGCAGTGTTTGTTCCAGCAGCGGGGGTGGGGGTGGGTGCGGGGGTTGGGGTTGGGGCCTGGCCTGAGGGTGGAGGGTTCTCAGGAGTCACATTCACCCCTGTGGGCAGTGGGGCACCAGGGATACCAGCAGCCATCCCACCAGGTATCAGACTAGAAAGAGACAAGACACATTTTTATTTGGTACGGAGCAGATTGCCACACTGTTTGTTTAGATTATGGGATCCATCAACTAATTTACATAACTGGAATAAAACAAACCCATTTAATAAGCACACGTGCTCTAATCTAGAGGAAGCTGCATTTACTTGACGACAAAGCCAAGAGGGAAATAACTAGTAGAAAGAGGATGTATTATTTTCATTCTGTAGAGAACAAAGTAGCTAAGCAATATAAAACTCACAAAAAAAATTAAATACTCAACTTCTAATACTAAAAATACCTCAAACTATCCTTTCAATATCAACTTCAAATTCTTATTCAATGCTACTTAATTTTTGTGGAAAACATGATATATTAACCATGCAAAAGTGTGAAAAACTATAATAAACAGAAAAAAAATAAAGATATTACTTTTATTAAGCAAAGATGCATTAAACTCAAGTGAAATTAAATACATTCATGTTACAAAAATAAATGCTATTCTTTTGAACTTTCTATTCATTAAAGAAACAACAAAAAAGTATCATAGTTGGCACAAAAACATTCCAATGATTATTATAAGAAATGTTAAGAATGATTTCTGAAGAATCATTGAAGACTGGAGAAATGGTTGCTGAAAAATTAAGCTTTGAATCACATGAACAATTTTACATATATTTATAATAATAATAATATTTCACACTATGTAAAGTTTATACTGTAATATTGATTGAATACATGGCGCAATGATTAGCATAACTGGGACTACTTAAAAATAATAATAATAATAATAATAATATAAAAAAAAACTGTGGAACTGGAACTGCACCTGGGCATAAGACCAGGGGCTTCGGTTTGAAGGGTTTGCAGTCCCTCCTGGATCTGCATTAGGGCTCGCATGGCTCGAGGATTTGTCATGACAGAAAGGGATTCTGGGTTCTGCATCTGCAAGCGAGTCAGAAAAACAAGTCAGTTGGTAAATAAAAGCAAATGAAACCTATACCCCATAGACAATCTACAACAACGCAAACTGAACACACCTGCTGCATAAATACAGGTAACTGCTGTCTCATTTGCTCCTGCAGCTGTGGATTTCCGGCAAAGAGAGGGTTGTTCATCAACACCTGCAAAAGGGTTAGGGTTACATATTAATAACAGATCATTATAGTAAATTAAAAGTTCTATGAATGATGAACTTTTGGGAATGATGGTCTTGCTACCTGTGAGGCAATATCAGGATTCTGGGCCAGGGACTGCATCATGGTGCGCATATAAGGAGCAGAAAGCATGTTCTGCATAAGCTGAGGGTTCTCAGAGATCTGTTGCATTAAGCTCTGCATGCCAGGACTGTTGAACATACCTAAAAGCAAACCACAATAGATAGATAGATAGATAGATAGATAGATAGATAGATAGATAGATAGATAGATAGATAGATAGATAGATAGATAAAATCAATTTATTTGAGATGTAAACCCTTTTATGCAGTATTTGACCTGAAAAAATATTTTTATATATGTTATTAACAAGATAAATATATAGTCTGCTATACCTGTGAACTCATTATCTGCTTGAAAATTCTACTACAACATATCCTCAATAAAATTAATGGACCTGGTTTTAAAATGAAAGCCAAATGTTTACGTAAAAGACCATTACCGTTTCCAAGGCTAGAGGAGCTGATGCCCAGAGGGTTGGACACACTGGGTGTGGTTGAGCTTGTGGTGGAGCTGGTGGTGGTAGCCGTCCCAGAGGTGGTGGTGGCAGCAGTGTCAGGGGGACCCCAGGGATTTGGCAGGGGCTCTCGGTTTTCTGTCCTGGAGGGCTGTGCTCCTGAGTTATCAGCATTTCCACCCAATGCCGAGAAGGGGTTATTTCCAAACTGTTCAGATGATGCAACATAGCATTTAATGTTGCCATTTCATATGAGTGTTAAGACTAGACAGTGAATTTGACAAATTCAATAATATTTTAGGCGAAAACCTTTTTTTAATTATTAAAATTACATGGTTTTCAAATTAAAATAAATATATATTTTTAAATAAATAAATTTATCGGACCTGTTCACGTGCAGCACTAAACATGGGCTCTTGAATATCTGTGTACATCCTCCGAAGAGCATTGTAACCCCCGGGAATACTCTCGAGGTTGCTAAGCGCCCGGTCCTGGTTACGCATCATCTCTTGCATCATGGCTGGGTTTCGTGCCAACTCCATTGTCTTGACAAGCAAAAAAAGTAAGTTAATAAAAACAAATCAGTGCCTGAAATAATGCAATGAAGCAAATGCACACATTTTAGATGTGCAAGTCAGAATAAAGAACTTTCTGAAGACAAAATATAATGGCGTACTACCTTGACTAGTAAAATCTAGCAAAATAACTTCTAGTACATGTCTAATAACATACCTGTCTCATGAGCTCTGGGTTGTTAAGCATGTGTGAAATCTCTGGGTTGCGCTCCATCAGTTGCTGCATCTGTGGGTTGGCGACTATCATCTGCCTCATCAGATCAGGGTTGGACATCATGCTCTGCACAAGCGGGTTCTCCATGATCTGAGACAGCATCTCAGGGTTGGACATGAGCTGTCGCTGCATCTGCTGCTGAAGCTCCATGAAGTTGGCAGATCCCATACCGAGGTTAGCCAGGCCCGACAGGTCACCAAACCCAGCTGAAAACATACAATGACAACCAGCGTGAAACAAAAGCAAAATAAAATAACATAACTTTCTTAAAAAGAACATAATACTATATTAGGTTTCTCATCATTTGTCTTTTAAACAATTATTTGTAGAAAAGGAACTAATTTAGATTACAAAAATAAATAAATAATTTAAAAAATCAGCCAGTAAACTGAAAAAGTGCTACATCGCAACATAAGATATTGTAAAATCACATTGGGAAATAAGCAATCCACAATATAAACCAGTGATGGGCAAACTTGGCCCTTCCAGGCCACTTTCCTGCAGAGATTTGATCCAACCCTAATAAAACTCACCTGCCTGTAGCCTTCTAGTAGTCTTGAAGACAATGATTAGCTGGTTCAGGTGTGTTTGATTAGGGTTGGAGCTAAACTCTGAAGGAAAGTGGCCTGGAAGGGCCAAGATTGCCCACCCCGATATAAAAAAACTCAAACTTTATACATTATATAATCATTAATAAAAAAAATTAAAAATACTGTATTTATTTTTAGAATTTTACAAATACAGTATATATGTATGATTTAGATTGTTTAGTTTAATTTTTGGTATTTTTTTTCAGCATTTTTTTTTTAATATTATTAATTTTATCTTAAATATTTGTTTCAGTTTGTGTTCCAGTTATTTTAATACTTCAATACTTCTTTCAGTTAGTTGCCAAGGCAAAATTTATTGTCATTTAGAGATTAAGTTTAAGTTTTTCGTCTAATATTTTATTTCAATTAGAAAAAACAATGTTGATAGATGTAGTTAACAGTAACAAACCTGGTTGCAACACGAAACACCAACAATATTATGGAATTACACTTAAAACGGGAACAACGGGCTGACATCTCATATAAACAAACTCAAAAACATTACTCACCGAGCATATTGGGTGGCTGTGTCGGGGTTGGGGACGGTCCACTGCCCTGGGGTGTGCCCAGGTTGCCGGCCGGGCTTGAGTTAGCACTTCCATCGGTGTTGCCCTGCGATGGCCCAGGGCCAGAAGAGGCAGAAGTCTGCGAACTACCACCACCTGAAGTCCTACAAACACAAAACCCTCTAAATGCGAGCCATCCATAATGCACAGGCATTATCCTACAACACATTATGGCTTTGCATATGAAAATACCAGTTATGTTTTGACGCTAAAAGCAGGTCCTCTTACTTTTGTGCGGTTTTGATGACCAGGTGAACCGTGAGTCCGTCTTTAATGCCATGCTGGCCGAGCGTGTCTCCGTCCTTCAGGATCTTACCGGCAAAAATCAGAACCAACTGGTCCTGGTTCGCCTTAAATCTTTTGGAAATTTCCTCTTTAAACTGTTAAGAGGGTAAAACATGCGGGTTACAATGTTACACGTGAAATTAGATCAACACAACCTCCCTTCTGTGCAACATCACAGTCACATATATTAAACCTGGTCTCGTAAACATCAACATTAACCAGCAACTGGTCAAATGAGTAACAAACACTGCTAGCACCACCTTTACGGGAAACGCTATCTAACACGTTATTTAATTTATCCACATATTCTTGAAGTCAACAATACAAAGCAAAACAGAAAGAGCGCGACCAAAGATGACAGACTAGAACCTTCTACCTGAGCAGGCCGTTCCTTTAACGAGAACAGCGAGCTAGAAAACCTCACTTTACAAGCGCCTTAAAAGACCTAAAACAATGAATACGACGCTCAAAATAACCTCATTTAAGTCATAGCAAGAGCAGAAGTCATTCTAAATATCCCCTGCGACGATTTTCGGCTTTGGACTGTTCGTCGTCAATCGTTAGCTCTCCGGCTAAAGCTGTTAGCCGCTGGTGTAACGAACGCCCGGGTGATACAAACAACAAGAAACCGCCAAAAAAATCACCTGTGAGACAGATGAATCCTCAGCGATGGCTATTTCTTCTTTATCCTTCGGTGTTTTGACGGTGACCTTAATGATAGTCGCGCTAGCGGCGGCATTTTCCTCAGTGTTCGTCTCCACGGCAGGATCCGTGCCGCTATTCTCCGCCATCTTTACTCTTCTTTTCCTTCATTACATCATCGCACCAACAAGAAGCGGGGAAAAGCGCTGCAAACGCCCATTGTTCCACAGCGCCCTCTGGCAGCGTGGAGTGCCATCGACTTACCTTACTGCTCTCACTGTATGAAATGACTCAAAAGCAGTGTTGGGGAAAGTTACTTTTAAAAGTAATGCATTACAATATTGCGTTACTCCATAAAAAAGTAACTAATTACGTTACTTAGTTACTTTTTATGGAAAGTAATGCGTTATGTTACTTTTGCATAACGTTACTTTACTAGTTACTTGAAAAAAGTAATCTGATTACGTAACTCGCGTTACTTATAATGCGTTACCCCCAACACTGCTCAAAAGTACGCTGTTATTGGCGCTTTATGTGTGACAAACAGTATAAACGAACGAGAAACAGGACCAATGTTTCCAATGTATACAATGTAATACACGTTTCCAATGTATTTCTCACATTTTGGTTCCACAGGCTGCTCAAGAAAAGTGGGCATATACCAGGACAAGATGCTGAAGAAGGCAAAGAAAACCAAAAACCAAAAACATTTAGGTGAATGTCCGACAGCCACACACTAATAGTACACTCTTAAAAATAAAGGTGCTTCACGATGCCATAGAAGAACCTTTTTGTCTAAATGGTTCCATAAAGAACCTTTAACATCTGAAGAACCTTTCTGTTTCACAAAAGGTTCTTTGTGGTGAAAAAAGGTTCTTCAGATTATAAAAAGGAAAGAAAGAGATGGTTCTTTAAAGAACCTTTGACTGAATGGTTCTTTGTGGAACCAAAAATGAATTTGAAGCACCTTTATTTTTAAGAGTGTAAGTGGATCATTAGCCTCTTGTTGAAGATGACAAATTAAACAAGAAATCACTGAATTACTGAAATACTTTTATCTTGTATTGGGGTCAATCTGACCCACACTCGATTGTCAAACTGCTCCAAATACTGGTTAAACTATTTATTTCTTCTTGAAGTTTTGTGAATAGTTCTCATTTAGGGTCATGTAAAGCTTTGACTCCTTTTGGAAAGTCTGTACAAATTTTGTTACAACTTTTGTGTTGAGGTCAAACTGACTCCCCCATTGACCTCCATTGGATTCCATTTAAAAAAAACAGAAAACCTTTATTGTAGCTTCTGAACTACATGAGAACAATTGTATCCTTACAAGGCTTTGTGAACCAGACATAACAAAAAGGCTGAGGAAATACAAATAGCAAGAAATGCGCTTACACATAGTACAGATTATGTTAGATACTATTTAGACTTGTATTTACATCTTATTGTGACTCATGACATTTTATTTCTTTCATTTTTTGTTAAGTTAAAACATGAGCTAAGGCTGATCTGCATGACAGAAAGCACTTGTTTTGGTGCAGATAGTCCTACATAAAATAATACGCACATAAACAGTAGGCTATATCTTGTAAGAACTGAGTAGTCAAATAGTTTAAAGGGGTCATATGATGCGATTTCAATATTTCCTTTCTCTTTGGAGTGTTACAAGCTCTTGGTGCATAAAGAAGATCTGTAAAGTTGCAAAGACTAAAGTCTCAAATCCAAAGAGATATTCTTTATAAAAATTAAGAGTCAACCACACCTACCTAAAACGGCTCGTTCTAACACGCCCCCACATATCTACCTCACTATGTGGGAAGATTTTTATAACGCACCCAAATGTTCACGCAAAGAAAGAAGGCGTAACTTTTATTCTCGCTGTAGTTTTGTTGTTTCGTAAAGACGCTGTGTGTTTCGTTGTAAAAGTGTAACTACTTAGTTTGGCCTTCCAAAAGAGGATGATATCCGCTTCGTCATGCCTGGAGCTGATCCGTGCTGGTTGCTGAGGAAATACTACAACTTTGCGCTGTCGATCGCCGGATCGGCTTTCACCGTGGATGAAGCGGAGTCCAGCCCGGAGTCGTCACATGTCCTTCCGGACACTCCTTCGTTGAAATCGCCGGCCGCGCCGTTCTCAAGCCCACCCGCCTCTGCTCACTCTAACCCTCCGGCCGTTCCTCACGCTAGCCCCCGGCCTCTGCTCACTGTAGGCCGTGGTGTGTGACGCTGTTTTGTTGTGAAAGCGAAACTACTTTGTTTGGTCTTTATATTGTTTTTATATTTTATATTGTTGTTTGTCATTTCTCCGATCACAAATGCAGACATGGTTTTATGTTTACGCGGCGCAATGCAACGCAACGTGTAAAAAGACAGTATAAGTCATTATAATCCATAATTATGTCCCCACTGGATGCAACGAATGCCTCATTTATAATGGGTTTTCATGTTTTTGAATCATCGCTTGGGCCGGACAGGGCATCACAATATGGTAGAGGCGTAACATTTCTGTCACACGCTTGAGGCATTCGGCCAATCACAACGCACTGGATAGCTGGCCAATCAGAGCACACCTCGCTTTTCAGAAAGGCGGGGCATAGAGGAGAAACAATAATGTAGAGTATGTGGAAAATAATGTGTTTTTTAACCTTAAACCACATAAACACCTTTCATTACACGAAATACACAAAATACTGTTCTTTTTAGCAACATCATATGACCCCTTTAAATAAAAACAGGATGCATTCGAGTCCAAAATACATGACGATAGCTTCTTAACATGTTCATTGCCAAATCTCTTGCTGTGTAGTAGTGCATATTTAAGCTATTTCGACCTTTGAAAAACATTACCCCCTGGTTTCATAGACAAGACCTAAGTCTAAAATGCATGTCTGTGCTGTTTTTTAACTGAAAGAAACTTGCACTGACTGATCTTAAAATGTCAGTGCCATTGTTTTGTCTCAAGATGCACACCAGTAATGTTTTTATCTAAAGCATGTTTATAAAAACGACTTAAATGTTCGAATTGAACTATTGCCTAATCCTGGCTTAACCTAAGCCCTCTCTATGGAACTGGGCCTACATGTAGGCCTTATATGAACCCAGTCTCGCTCTACTAACGTAATAGCAATATAGAAAAGATAGATGGCGCTGTTTACATGTCTACTGTACAGTAATCAATCATTTACAGAAGCTTTAGATTCGTCGTGACTGAAACCTTTTAAAATCATTCTTTCATATGATTTTCAACGTTGTGGAGTGAAGGTAAGTAACATTTGTTATTATTAACCAATTACATCGTCAATTAGGCCTACTAAACGGTAAATGAATTAATGAACACAATTCCTGTTATACTTGTTTACAGAGTATGAGGAAGTCACTGCCGGGAAAAATCAAAACTCCTCCTCCTTCAAAAAACCCCACAGAGAGTCGTGACATTTCCACTCATCTGATTCTGTGCTGAGCCTCACAAGGTGCCACACAAGGTGAGTTTAAGGTAACATGGTATTTCTTAAGTTTAATAACAATAATTTCATATACTTAAAAACAAACATAAAAAAGACCAGAACGTTAAAGATAATGAACAAACTGTCGTTAAACAGCCTGCACCACAACTTCCTGATATGAAACAGGACAGAGGGATTTTTTTTAATATAATCAAACATGCTATGTAGAATATTACATGTGCGTACTATCATAAAAAAAACCTGTTTTAAGTCTGTTTGAAGTGTTAAAGTTCTTTTTTTCCTCCTGATATTATGATATGTACTGGAAAACTGATCCTCCTGCAATAGTAATCCTTTGCTGTTCTTATTTCATGCTGTTAACAAACAGGTTTGGCCATTGTTATCTACTGTAAGGTTGAAGTCCATCACTTCCATCTGCAGCATGCCTCTGACAGTGTCTCGGGGTGAAGGACTGACCGTCATCAGTCCAGAGTGATTCTGCCAGCCCTTTTGCTCACTCTGGATAAGTACAGTTCTTGGAGAGAAGGGAGGGTTGTACCAATGATTCGCTCAGCAGTCCGGACTACCCTCTGTAGTCTTCTGAGGTCAGATTTGGTAGCTGAGCTGAACCAGACAGTTATAGAAGTGCAGAGGACAGATTCAATGATAGCAGAGTAGAACTGTTTCAGCAGCTCCTGTGGCAGGTTGAACTTCCTCAGCTGGCGAAGGAAGTACAACCTCTGCTGGGCCTTTTTCACAATGGAGTCAATTGTGGTGCCCAGGAACCTGAATGACACCACTGCAGTCACAGTGCTGTTCATGATGGTGAGTGGGGGAAGAGCAGGGGTGACAGACGTTAGAGCCACTGGCCTGTAGTCATTTAGTCCTGTAATTTTGGATTTCTTTGGGATGGGGTAATGGTGGAGCGTTTGAAGGACTTCGCACAGCTCCAGTGATCTGTTGAAGATCTGTGTGAAGATGGGGGCCAGCTGGTCAGCACAGGATTTCAGACAGGCTGGTGTCACACAATTTGGACCTGGTGCTTTTTTCCTTTTCTGCTTCCGGAGGACCTGGCACACCTCATCTTCACTGATTTGAAGTGCAGATGTGGGGGAGAGGGGGGTTGCAGGAGGTGTTAATGGTGTTTTTTCAAACCTGCAGTAGAACTCGTTCAGATCGTCTGCCAGTTGTTGATTCTCCACAGTGCTGGGGGATGGTGTCTTGTAGTTGGTGATCTCTTTCAGACCTTTCCACACTGATGCTGAGTCGCTGGAAGTGAACTGAGTCCTCCCCTTTTCAGAATAATTCCTTTTTGCCACTCTGATCTCCTTTTCCAGTGTGTATTTGGCCTGTTTATACAAGACATTGTCCCCCTTCCTGTAAGCATCTTCTTTGGCCTGACGGAGTTGTCTGAGTTTTGTAGTGAACCATGGTTTGTCATTGTTGTAGTCCACACTGACAGCAAAAATTTGATTGGTTGACTTGCAATGTCATTGTGCCAACTTGGTATATTCTTAACTATATTGTTCTCTTGTTCCATAGATTGTGCAGATGATAATTGGTGTCCTCAATATTGTGGCTGGGATTGTGCTTAAATGCCTCGCGGAGTGGTTTACCATGGAAAGAATAGCCCAGGGACCCTTTTGGCTCGGAAGTTTGGTAAGACTCAGGTCTCATTTTGATAATTTTTATGTTTATAAATCAGTTAATGTTGTGTTGTGCCTGTCAAAAAGTATAATTCTTTTGATATGTTCAAAATCAAAAGCACCTTTTTTTATTATAGTTCCTTGTAGTTGGAATTGTGTGCATTCTTACAGCGAAGTTCCCCTCTTCTTGTCTGGTAAGTGTCTTGATCTGAATCAAATGATTTGCGATGCGCGATCTGATTGGAGCGCTTTGAAACAGTGAATCATTTTGCGACGCAATGGTTTAACTGATTCGGAGTTTCAAAAAGCTTGGTTGGTACGGTGTTCTTTGCTCGCTTTCTCTATATAATTTATTAATTGTTTGAATAACCGTGGAAATGAAATCATTACAATTAATAGGCCTAACTTACAATGTTTTTATTAAATTTTGATCACGTTAAATACAGTTTCCGTCGTATTTAAAACATTTAATGGCATGTCACCTATTATCTAACCTGATCTCATGAAAGCGCGTATAAATAGTACGCCAAATAAAAACGAAAACTCGTGGTATTGATACGCAAAAATTGACTTTGGTGTGTATATGCTACGCAATGGGTAGGATTAGGGTTGTGGGGTAGATGTGTATCATATGTACACGAAAACTGCGTAATATATGCACGCCAAACACGTGCCTAGCATATACACGCCAAAGTCCATTTTTGCGTATCAATACCACGAGTTTTCGTTTTTATTTGGCGTACTATTTATATGCATTTTCATGAGACCGGGCTCTATTATCTGGTACTTGCCTATAAAGACGGGTAGTTGTGTCAGCCTCCGCCTAAAAGTTTTCAAAAGCACCCCCCCTATATATTTATATTTGTGTGTGTATATATGTCTGTCTGTATATATATATATATATATTCTTTGTGTTTCACAGCTGATAATCGGGATCATTTTAAATGTAGTCAGTGCTGGATTGGCTATCACAGCTGTTGTGCTGTATTCAGTGGACCTTGCTAATAGTCATACATATGAAAACTGTGAAAACGGGAGTTATCATCAATCACGCTATAATGGATATGGTTATAGTTACGAAACACCTTCCCCTGAAGATAATAGGAGAAAAGAGATGTGTTTGTTCTACAAGAATCTCATTGAGGTAATGATTATCTTTCTTTTCTTTAGATGATGTAAGACTAGCTACTGCATATCAAATCTTCTTCCAAACATGCTCACAGTTCAAGTTCTTTTACGAAAAGCAAAAAGTTGTCCATATGATGTGCTTTTTTCCAGGTTTTCTGAATAGGAATAGGAAAAACTTGAAAGGGAGCTGTTGTGTTTTATCGATTTACTGTAAATGTCTTACAGGCTTTATGGATGGTTTTCCTTTTTAGTAAGTTAACACTTTACTCTTTACCCACCCAGAATATCTTCAGAGGACTAGATATCATGATGATAGTGCTGTCGGTCCTTCAGCTCTGTGTGACCATCAGTTTCTGTGTTTTGACTGGGAAAGCTTTGTGCAAGAAGGATGAAGATGTAAAGGTACTGCATCATCAGCACTATTACATCAATCAGTCAGTCAAATCCACTGTGATCGTGAGAGAGTTTGAGAGAGCTGCTCTGTGTGTTCATGTTTGTTTGTGGTTTTGCAGTCGGTGGAGGATTCAGAACTTCACAAGCCGCTCCTGGAAGATGACACTCCTGGTGCTGTGTGACAAGATAAACACACAAAATAATCAGTTATTCTTTTTGCTTGTAATGCAATGGCATTTTGTGTCTCAATATTGTAGTGAAATGATTTAAAGCAGATTTCCTCCATTCGCAACACTGTTAAATTACATGTTTACTTACACTTGTTTTTTTTTTCCTTTTACAAAAGTGTCATCATTGATCTTTCTCTCTATACATGTAGATTAGTGAGTGTTAACTTTTATTGCCTTTTTAAATTGTGTTGTAACCTTTAGGACTGCCTGTTTAAAAATAAATCACTGCAGCACTTTGGCATCAACCCTTTTCATGTTTTACATTTTTTACAGCTTCTCTACTAAGGGGAAGTCGTGGCCTAATGGTTAGAGAGTCAGACTCATAACCCAAAAGGTTGTGGGTTCGAGTCTCGTACTGGCAGGGATTGTAGGTGGGGGGAGTGAATGTACAGCGCTCTCTTCCACCTTCAATACCACGACAAGGTGCCCTTGAGCAAGGCACCGAATCCCCAACTGCTCCCCGGGCGCCGCAGCATAAATGGCTGCCCACTGCTCCGGGTGTGTGTTCACGGTTTGTGTGTGTTCACTGCTGTGTGTGTGCACTTTGGATGGGTAAATGCAGAGCACTAATTCTGAGTATGGGTCACCATACTTGGCCACATGTCACTTCACTAAGTCTTCCTTTTGTACAACAACTACTATATATCCATACATATATACATATACATACAGTGGTGGCCAAAATTATTGGAACACTTTGCAGGTAGGTTTCTTGAAGCGTCTTGGAGACGTTGCCACTGTTCTTCTGGATTGAGTCTGTCACAGTTTGTTCTGTTTCTTCATGTCATTCCAGACAGACTGGATGATGATCAGATCAGATCTCTGTGTGGAGCACTGGCTGTTGTCAGACTAAAATCTCACTGGATTATGACTAATGGATAACTAATGGCAAAATGAATGTTTGGAAATGTAAACTGATATTTCCTACTGACACACTACAGCAAAAGATAGAAATAACTGACTTAAAACCATTTTTTAGCAGGTGAAAATACTAGTGTTCTAATCATTTTGGCCACTACTGTATTATTGCTTAGAAAACGACACTAATACTCCTCATAATTTAGCCAGCTGTGCCAATTTACGTTTCGCATTTGTTGCATTTGTAGACAAGGCATACTTATTTATATAAATATTATAGTGCTTTACAGAAAAATGAATTTAGAAAAGAAACAAAATATATGAATCATAAAAAGATCCATAAAAAATGTCAAGAATTGAATCCATTAGTTAGTTGTAAATGTAAGACCTTTTTATTCTGTATTGTTTAATATTTGTTAATATCAGCAGTGTTTATTATGTCTTCAGTTTCAACCTGACTATAGACTCGGGTTCTTTAAATTTCAAGAGGAACTAAAGGGAAACATGATATGGACAGGAACAAAACAGCTCCACCTTCAACAGATCAGGATCAGATCAGAGTCAGCCTTCAGTCTGCACTCTAACTTACATACAGTATACACACAAGGTGTGTCTGAGTTTACTGTGTTTCTTAAGATCTGTAAAATTCACATGCTATTAAAAAGTAAGAACAATGTAAAAGGTGTGACTTGATTATCAATGACTACTTTTTAGCAAGCACACATCAGCCTTCACTTCTTAAAGAAACGTTGATGCAGTCAATGAGAAAACTACAGTCAGCATTGCTGTTTAATAATCACAAATGTTGTAGAACTTGTTTGTGAAGGAGAACAAAATGTTAGGAATTTACATAAAAATCTTTTGGGATTTGTGTTTTTCTGATGCATGAGCCTTATCTTGTCTTTATCTTGTGAGAAGTCTGAAGTCCATCACTCCCGTCTGCAGCATGTCTCTGACAGTGTCTCATAATGAGGGGTTGACGTCATAAATATGAAAATATATGAAAGAGAAAGAGAAGCTGACACACATCCACACAGCTCTTGGAGTGAATCAGATATTAATCGCAAAATTGCAAAAAAAAACGTTTTTTTATTTTCAGGCCTGATTTTAGAATGCTTTGGATAGGTTTGATTTGAGCATTAAAAAAGGTCAGATTTAAGATGTTTAAATATTTTTCACAATTAGGTTATGATGCACAATGTATTAAAATGTTTTTGAAACACCTATGTGCTGAAAACATGACATGCAATTTATGGATTTGGATCCTCAAAAATGATTAGAACTAAGCTGTAACTTTTCCAGTTTTTAGTTGCAAATGTTAATACAAGAACATTAAATTAACACAAACAATGCACTGAAACTTTTCATGGTTGTGGCCACTTAGCGGGTTAATTTTATATGACTAAAATAAGATATTTTGTATACATTGCAAAAAATTGGAAGCCTGTCATGATCAAGTGAAAAATGTTATCTCAAGCTGTCATTGTAGTAGCTGTGTACATTCTTAATTTTATATCTTGACATTTTTAAGATTACTGACAGCTGGTGGCAACAATGTATTTTTCTCTTGTTCCATAGATTGTGCAAATTATAATTAGTGTCATCAGTATTGCGGTGGAGAATTTGTTTGCATATAGCTTAAGTTCTAGTCTGTATACCTATATAATGATGATAGCTCTGTCGGTCCTTCAGCTCTGTGTGACCATCAGTTTCTGTGTTTTGACTGGGAAAGCTTTGTGCAAAAAGGATGAAAATGCAAAGGTAGTGTATCATCAGCACTATTACAACAATCAGTCAGTCAAAATCAGAGAGCTGTTGTGTGTTCATGTTTGTTTGTGGTTTTCCACACGGTGGAGGATCTAGAACTTAAGCTGCATGATAAGATGATCACAAATAATCAAAGTTATTTGTTTTGCTTGTAACAGAATGACATTTTGTCTCTCAATATTGTAGTAAAATCATTTAAAGCAGGTCTCCTTCCATCTGCAACACTGAAAGGGCCAGATTTACTAAACAGGAAAGTTCTGCGGATGATCAACTGATAATGTAATAATGCGCAAAATTAATGATCATAGATGCACTCAGAGCATTTCCATAATGACCAATGCAAAAAAGCAGTGCAAATTAGCCTATAGGGTCGCAAACAAGCAGAGCCTATGATAATAACAACAACACAGGCGCAAAATGGGTAAAGATTTAATAAATAATAAATTGATAAAAATAATCAACAATTTACAGAAGCTATATTTCAGATTTGCCCTGAAACCCTTTAAAAATCTTTCTTTTGTATGATTCTCAACATTGTGGAGTGAAGGTAAGTAGCCTAACATTTAATATGATTAACAACCTTGCTTAATATTATTACTATACATGAATTGAATCATGAACAACATTCCTGTTATACTTGTTTACAGACTTAAGGAAGTCACTGCCAGGAAATCAAAACTCCACCTTCAACAACAAAAAAAAGAATATTGTGCCGTCTTCACTCATCTGGACTGAGACTCATAGACGTGCCACACAAGGTGAGTTTAAGTTAACACAGTGTTTCTTAAGATTGTTAACAAATAATTTAATGAATAATTTAATGAACAAAACAAAAATAAAAAGCACAAGAATGGTAAGGATAATGAACAAATAAATTGTGGTTAAACTGCCTTCATCACCTCAACTGTTTCCTCCTACAAAAACTTTTATGTAGGCAGGAAAACTTAACTCAGCAAAGCTGTTTTGATAATCAAATATATTAATATTGTGTGTAACATTTAATTTATATTCTATCATAAAAGTAAAAGAAAGCAACATTGAGTCCATTTAATCTGTTAAAGTTCTTTTTCTCTCTCTTCAATATATGAATATGAACATAAAATCTGATTCTCCTGCAATGGTAATCATTTGCTGTTCTTCTTGTTTCTTGCAGTCTAGAAGGTTTGGCTATTGTTACCTACATCTGGTCAGCGCTGCAGCATGCCTCTGACAGTGTCTCGGGGTGAAGGACTGACCGTCATCACCATCACCTCAAACCCAAAGAGCAAATGGCCCGTACTGTGTCAGATTCTGGGTTTTCTCTGCTACAGTCCAGTGTGTTCTGTATCTCAGGGTATGAAAGGGAAGCTGAAGGATGTCCACACAGCTCTTGGAGTGAGTTTGACATTTACATTAATTCCAAAATACCTTTCTGATATGTTCAGGTCTTGTGATTTTCGCATACTTATTTTTTTTTGACAGAACTTAGTAAACATTCCATGTAAGATGCTTACGACGTTTTTACGTTTCTTAATGTTGCCATTTCCAGGAGCAGGATTGGAGACCCCTAAGTTAGATTATGTTAGGACAATGTTTTAAAAACATTTTTAAAACACCTATGGAGCCCCTAAAGAAGAGGTGCCCAAACTCGGTCCTGGAGGGCCGGTTTCCTGCAGAGTTTAGCTCTAACTTGCCTCAACACACCTGCCTTCAAGTTTCTAGTATGCCTAGTAAGAGCTTGATTAGCTGGTTCAGGTGTTTAATTGGGGTTGGAGCTAAACTCTTCAGGACATCGGCCCTCCAGGACTGAGTTTGGGCACCCCTGCCCTAAAGGGACATGGTTTTGGTAAAATGGGAAAAATTATATTTCAACACTTTTGCATTCATTTGCTAAACTGTTGATTTTCACTAAGAAACTCTGCATTTGCTCACCAAACTTTTGCATTTACCCAAGAAACTTGCATTGTTTCCACCACACGATTAAAATAAAATAATAATAAAACAAGGTAAAAAGTGACTGTTTATCTCACAATTTAAGGTTTTTTCTCTCAATTCTAAATTTATATCACATAGTTTAGACATTTTAGTTTACTTTTTAGTTTTTAGTAAAAAATATATATATATATTTTTAAATTCTGAATTGTGAGATAAAAGTCACAATTATCTTCTCTTTTTTTATGTTAAAAACATAATGCAAGATATAACCCGCACAATTCTGAGAAGAAAAGTCCAAACTACCTCACAATTGTGAGGAAATATGTCTTGTAAGAATTGTAAGAGAAATTTGGCAATTAATTATTTTAGTTTTTTTATTTTGTTGCATAAACAAAAACAAAAAAAGTCAGAATTGACGTAGAACCTTGGAATTGTAAGAAAGTCAGAAATCAGAAAGTCAGAGTTCATTCAGAATTTTTTCCTCAGGATTGTGAGAAAACAAATTCCAAATTGTGATGGAAAGAACATGAAGTGAGAGGAAAAACTGTATTTCACTGGATTTGTAAGCAAACACAAAGTATCTTGGGGGAATATAAAACCTTTGTGAGAGATCGCAAAATTATTGAAATGTAATGTTTCTTCCTATCTCATATTTCCCCCCCCAGTAACTATGTCCCCTTAAGGGCTCTGTAACATTATGTGCAGTTTTTGGATTAGTTCAAATTATTAATTTTGGAAAATGTACATTTTAGTTGCAATTTTTTTAGTTTATGCAACTAAATGTAATTTATTAAAACAATATGAAACTTTTTGGAAACATTGTGCAAATACTGATTTATACTATTAAAAATGTTTGCTTGTCCACACTTACAGCAGAAATTTGATTGGTTGACTTGCAATGTCATTGTACCAACTTGGTATTTTCTTAATTTGTTTTATTGTTCCATAGATTGTGCAGATGATAATTGGTGTCCTCAATATTGCTGTAGGGATTGTGTTTACATGCCTTGGGTCGTGGTTTATCATGTATAGAACAGCCTTTGGACCCTTTTGGATTGGTAGTGTGGTACGACAAGTCTAATTTTGATCATTTTTATGTTTATAAAGTTGTGCATTGCCTGTCAAAAAGTACTGATATGTTCAAAATCAAAAGCTTTTTTTTTATTACTATTATAGTTCCTTGTAGTTGGAATCATGTGTATTCTCTCAGCAAAGTTTCCCACTTCTTGTCTGGTAAGTGTCTATCAAAGGCATTTGTGTTTTTGACAGTTCTAGTTTTGCTGGTTTACTATATATTTGTATGTGTGCGTGTGTGTATGTATACGTTAGTATGTGTATATATATATATATATATATATATATTGTTTGTGTTTCACAGCTGACCACTGGGATCATTCTGAATTTAGTCAGTGCTGGATTGGCTATCGCAGCTGTTGTGCTGTATTCAGTGGACCTTGCTAATGATCATACATATGAAAACTGTGAAACCAGCAGTTACTATTATTCACATTATGATGGCTATGGTTATGGTTATGGTAATAAAACGCCTTCCCCTGAAAATAGTAAGAGGAGAGAGGAGTGTCTGTACTACAAGAATCTCATTGAGGTAATGATTATCTTTCTTTTCTTTAGATGATGTAAGACTAGCTACAGCATATCAAATCTTCCAAACATACCCACAGTTCAAATTCTTTTACAAAAAGCACCATAAAAAGTCGTGGTAACACTTTCTATGAAGCCCATATTTATAACACATTATAAGGGTATTCTTAAGGCATTATAATGAATGCATAATGCATTATAAAAACCCTTATAATATGTTATATCATCTTATGAATATTCATAAGAACAGTTTTAATATTTTATAATATTTACTTATTTGTGGTTATAGCTTTTACGAGTATGATGATTTATAACACACAGTGAACATGTTGTATATATTTCTCATAGTCCACACCTAACCACTTACAAGATGTAGTAAGATACTGTGCAGATCTTAAATAAACAATGCCAAGATATATAGCCCATTATAAATGTAAAACGTCACTGCTGGTCCTGCATGACACAGATAAATATAAACACACAAAATAATCAAACTTACTCTTTGTGCTTATAGTGCAATGGCATTTTGTGTCTCAATATTGTAATGAAATGATTTAAAGCAGATCTCCTCCATCTGTTAAATTACGGTACATGTTTACTTACACTTGTTTTTTCCTTTTACAAAAGTGTCATCATTGATCTTTCTCTCTATACATGTAGATTAGTGGGTGTTACCTTTTTTAATTTTGTTGTAATCTTTGGGGCTGCTTATTTAAAAATAAATCACTGCAGCACTTTGGCATCAACCCTTTTCATGTTTTAAATTTTTTACAGCTTCTCTACTAAGTCTTCCTTTTGTACAACAATGAAAAACTAAAACTAATATAAATATATACATTATGCATACAGTTACCAACTGGTTGCAAATGAAGTTGAAACAGGTTCTAATCGCAGCAGTTTTCAATATATATTAAACACAAACACATAACATACTGTATATCCCTGATATACATGTCAAACACACCACCTTCACTAAAAAGTCATAGACTTGTGATGTGAAGAAGATTAATTAATTTCATTACTTTTATAGTCTGAAAAGGCCGTTCAAGAAAAGCTCGATGGGATAGGATACACAATGCTGGATCCTCTAGCATATGTCAGGAGAAAATTTTTATTTTGATAGTACAATGGCCACAAAATGAAAGTCAACTTCAGTTTTTATTTGGGGATGAATTGCCTTTAATGACGTTTAGAAAAACAACAACACAATTTAATATATTATTATTCTTGTAGTTAAATTTAATGCAGCTGTTGAGACCCCTATCAATCCCTTGAGTGGCCCTCTGCAAATCTATGGTATAGTCCTATCAGAGCAGCCTCGGAAAACACACAATAAAGTCACAATAGCAATATTTCTTATATGTATTGCTAGGAGACCTGCGCCGTAGCTTCTATGTGTTGGTCTACTTGTTGTTCTGCTAGGTGGCCAGATAAGTGTATGAATACTTATGCAACAGAATCATTTCAGTTTTCTATTTCTAATAAGTTTGCAAAGTTGTTACAAACCTGTTTTTTGCTTTGTCATTATGGTGTATGAGTGTAGATTGATGTGGGGGAAAAAAGTTATTATTAAAGCAGTTTAACATAAGGCTGCAACATAAAATGTGACAAAAATTATGAATACTTTCACAAGGCACTGTAAATATTGTACATAGTGCTTTACAGAAAAATGAATTTAGAAAAAATTGTAATCATAAAAAGATCCATAAAAATGTCAATAAAAATAAGTAAAAATGTAATACAAGAATACATTAGTTAGTTGTAAATGCAAGACGTTTTTATGCTGTATTGTTTAATATTTGTTAATATCAGCAGTGTTTATTATGTCTTCAGTTTCAACTTGACTATAGACTCGGGTTCTTTAAATTTCAAGAGGAACTAAAGGGAAACATGATATGGACAGGAACAAAACAGCTCCACCTTCAACAGATCAGGATCAGATCAGAGTCAGCCTTCAGTCTGCACTCTAACTTACATACAGTATACACACAAGATGTGTCTGAGTTTACTGTGTTTCTTAAGATCTGTAAAATTCACATGCTATTAAAAAGTAAGAACAATGTAAAAGGTGTGACTTGATTATCAATGACTACTTTTTAGCAAGCACACATCAGCCTTCACTTCTTAAAGAAACGTTGATGCAGTCAATGAGAAATCTACAGTCAGCATTGCTGTTTAATAATCACAAATGTTCTAGAACTTGTTTGTGAAGGAGAACAAAATGTTAGGAATTTACATAAAAATCTTTTGGGATTTGTGTTTTTCTGATGCATGAGCCTTATCTTGTCTTTATCTTGTGGGAAGTCTGAAGTCCATCACTCCCGTCTGCAGCATGTCTCTGACAGTGTCTCAGGGTGAGGGTTTGACCGTCCTCACCATCATCTCAAACCCAAAGAGCAAATGGCCCGCACTGTGTCAGATTCTGGGTTCTCTGTGCTGCAGTCCAGTGTCTTCTGTATCCCATATGAAAGGAAAATGAAGCATGTTCACACAGACATGGGTAACATACATTTTTTTCAGGCCTTCTGATTTTAGAATACTTTAGACCGATTTAATTTGAACATTAAAAAAAGATACGATTTAAGATGCTTAAAATATTTTTCATAATTAGGTTATGATGCAGTGCAATGTATTAAAATGTTTTTTTTAAAAACCTAATGTGCTGAGAACATGACATGCAATTTATGTATTTGAATCCTCAAAAATGATCAGTACTAAGCTGCAATTTTTAGTTCCATTGTTTAGTTGCAAATGTTTATACAAGCAAATTAATTTATTACAAACAATGCACTGAAACTTGTCATTGACTTAGTGGGAGCATATACAGGCTAAACAAGAGCGGTGCAAGAATTGAGCCTTGTGGGACTCCACATGTCATGGACGTCCACTAGACTTATGCTCTCCTATACTCACATAATAACCTCTCCCTTCTAAGTATGACCTGAACCATCCCAGAAAGCCCGACCCAGTTTTCCAGTCTCTCTAGAAGTATGTTATCATTGACAGTGACAAAAGCAGCATTAAGATGCATTAGTACCAGCACTGATATTTTGCCAGAATCAGAATTTAAGCGAATATCATTTATTATCTTAATGAGCGCTGTCTCTGTGCTGTGATGAGGTTGGAAACCAGATTGAAAATTGTCCAGGTATCCATTTGAGTTTAAGTAGTTGTTCAGCTGATTAAAAACTACCTTTTCAATAATCTTGCCTATAAAAGGAAGATTTGATATTGGTATATAATTGAAGAAAATAAAGTATTTGGAATGGCCCGGTCAGTCACCAGACTTAAACCCAACAGAGCATTTGTGGACAAAACTGATAATCAAGATTCAGAAGAAGTTTAAAGTTTGTTCATACAAAACTGCCGGGAAAATTCAAAAATCTGCCTTAAAAATAAAAAGAGCACCCACAGAGAGTCATGCCATCGTCATCTGTGCTGAGACTCAAAGACGTGCCACACAAGGTGAGTTTAAGTTAACACAGTGTTTCCTAAGAATATTAACAATAGCCTATTATATTGAACTTAAAACAAAAATAAAAAAGACAAGAATGTTAAAGACAATGAACAAACTGTGGTTAAACAGCTTGCACCACAACTTCCTTATACAAAATATAATAATGCAGGTGGATTTTTACACAGACTCTACAATGTAAAGGCTACAAAACTTAGGTCAGAAGTGCTGTTTTTGCAATCAGACATATTTATACTGTGCAGAATATTTAATTTACATAGCCCATTCATTTTTTTAATGATTTGAGTTAATTTTTTCTCTCCATGATATGATTCTCCTTCAGTGGTAATCATTTCTTGTTTCAGGCAGTTAACAAGAGATTTGGCCATTGTTTCCTACCACATCTATTCAGTGCTGCAGCATGCCTCTGACAGTGTCTCGGGGTGAAGGACTGACCGTCATCAGCGTCACCTCAAACCCAAAGAGCAAATGGCCCGTACTGTGTCAGATTCTGGGTTTTCTCTGCTACAGTCCAGAGAATAATAATAATCATGCTGAATACTGTGAAGGCTACAAACTGTTGTGTTTTCTTGATGTAAATCTCTTACAGACTTGATTTTCCTTTTAATAAACTGACATTCTTATCTTTAACCACCAGTAGATTTTCTTTAAAGGACTATATATAATGATGATAGCACTGTTGGTCCTTCAGCTCTGTGTGACGATCATTTTCTGTGTTTTGACTGGGAAAGCTTTGTGCAAAGAAGGATGAAGATGTAAAGGTACTGCATCATCAGCACTATTACAACAATCAGTCAGTCAAATCCACTGTGATCATGAAAGAGACTAGGCCTCCGCTCACTCAAGACCATGGTGTCTGACGCTTTTTCGTTGTGAAAAGGAAACTAGACAAACTTTGTTTGGCCTTCTAAAAGAGGACACGACTAGAAATCAGTGGTTAAGTTGTATTTACAACACTGTTCCAGAACACTTCAACCCAAATATTCAGATGTGTGCAGCACATTTTATGGAGGACTGTTTCCTGATCCTGGGAGAGTAGACTACATGCCGGCTGTTCTGACTCACAGACTGTAAGTATGTTTTTTATATTTAAAGAATTTGCCACTGACGATTCAAACGCGAGTTTTTTGGGCAGTGTAGAGTAGTACTTGTTGTTTGTCATTTCTCCAATCATAAATGCAGACATGGTTTTATGTTACGCTCCGGCCGGACAGGGCATAACAGTATGGTAGGGGTGTAATATTTCCGTCACAAGCTTGAGGTATTCGGCCAATCACAACGCACTGGATAGCTGGCCAATCAGAGCACACCTCGCTTTTCAGAACGATGAGAAAAAATCGACGCGTTTCAGAAAGGCGGGGCATAGAGAAACAATAATGTACAGTATGTGTAAAATAATGTGTTTTTTGAAACTTAAACCGCATAAACAAATTTCATTACACCAAATACACAAAATAATGTTCTTTTTAGCAGCATCATATGACCCCTTTAAGGGATGGGTGGTAACCCTACTTACAGATTAAGGGGCGGAAATATTATAATGAGATCTCTTTTCAACGTCACCAAGGGAGTGAAATTAGACGTTCATTTTCTCAGACGCTTGCAGAAAAAGGCTTGCCAAAACAAAGTTACTGGGTTAATCTTTTTCACGTTTCCTTGGTTGGTAGATGCACCGGGGACCTGATTATAGCACTTAAAACCTGGAAAAGTCAGATTTTCATGATATATCACTTTAAGATAAAACCGTTGCTTCCAGCTAAAATTATTACTTGAAAACTGAATGCTTGTTTTACTGGCTAAACATGTTCCTAAATGTAGGAATTTTAAATTTTTGTAACAGATTAAATTTCTTACACTAAACCACAAAAAACAAACAATCAAAAGTCCAAAATTTTGCCTAGAAAGTAGAAGCAATTCATTAAATATATTAGACCTATTAGAAACATTTAATGTAGACTACACTCCTCACAATTCAACCAACCAGAACGCCAACTTGTGTATGAAGTTACTGCATGCAAAGTAAAACATGAAGTGTTTATTATGTCTTCAGTTACATCCTGACTATAGACTCGGGTTCTTTACATTTCAAGAGGAACTAAAGGGAAACATGCAGATTCACTGACAGGAACAAAACAGCTCCACCTTCAACAGATCAGGATCAGATCAGAGTCAGCCTTCAGTCTGCACTCTAACTTACACACAGTCAATTACTCATAAGGTAAGTCTGAGTTTACTGTGTTTCTTAAGATCTTGAAAAATTCACTTTCTTTAAAAAAAAAAGTATGAACAGTGTAAAAGGTAACAGTGTGACAAATCTCAACAACTTTTTAGCAAACACACACATCTTCACTTCTTACAGAAACGTTGCAGTTGATGAGAAAACTGCCGTCAGCGATGCTGTTTAATAATCACGCATGCTATAGAACTTGTTTGTGGAGGGAAGCAAAATGTTAGGAATTTACACAACTATCATTTGGGCCATTGGGATTTTCTGATGTATGAGCCTTACTTGTGTGATCATTTTCTGTGTTTTGACTGGGAAAGCTTTGTGCAAGAAGGATGAAGATGTAAAGGTACTGCATCATCAGCACTATTACAACAATCAATCAGTCAAATCCACTGTGATCGTGAGAGAGTTTGAGAGAGCTGCTCTGTGTGTTCATGTTTGTTTGTGGTTTTGCAGTCGGTGGAGGATCCAGAACTTCACAAGCTGCTCCTGGAAGATGCCACTGCTGGTGCTGCATGAACAAAAAAATAATAAATTATGCAGACAAGTACCAGCAACTGACTACTACTGACTGACTACAGCAAACCTTAGATCACCCACATGGTTCATACTTTCCTCCCATACATTTGTGTACACGCATTTTCATCATTCATTTTCACTACACACTCTTAGTAAATCCTGACAGTAGTTTTTAATGCCAAAAGAGAGATTTAGCATAAGCTGTTTTTTTTATGTAAGTGGTGTAGTCAGAAAAGTTATCATAGTTTTAGTGACAATTACATAAATTATATACCAAGCATGAAACATGTCCAGAGTTCTCTTGTTATTAGATTTTTAATAAAAATGTAATTTGTGCCAATTGGGAATTTTGCCCCATAGCCGTGCCTCCTGGGGGCGTTTTACCCCACCTGGCTAGGGGTGTTTTACCCACAGACTTAAATAACACGTGCTCCATATCTACAGGCCCTACTGTTCTCATATCATATATAGAATTTTCACTTCCTAGAAACGTTGATGCAGTCGACGAGAAACTGACAGTCAGCAATGTTGTTTCAATAATTTATTAGGCATATTTTAGAACTTGGCAAAGGAAAACAAATTGTTATGAATTTACATAACTATTATAAGAAACATTGCATTTGGGTCAGTGTGATTTTCTGATGCATGAGCACTACTTGTTTGTTTATCCTCCATCCCTCCCAGCTGCAGCATGCCTCTGACAGTGTCTCGGGGTGAAGGACTGACCGTCATCAGCGTCACCTCAAACCCAAAGAGCAAATGGCCCGTACTGTGTCAGATTCTGGGTTTTCTCTGCTACAGTCCAGAGAATAATAATAATCATGCTGAATACTGTGAAGGCTACAAACTGTTGTGTTTTCTTGATGTAAATCTCTTACAGACTTGATTTTCCTTTTAATAAACTGACATTCTTATCTTTAACCACCAGTAGATTTTCTTTAAAGGACTATATATAATGATGATAGCACTGTTGGTCCTTCAGCTCTGTGTGACGATCATTTTCTGTGTTTTGACTGGGAAAGCTTTGTGCAAGAAGGATGAAGATGTAAAGGTACTGCATCATCAGCACTATTACAACAATCAATCTGTCAAATCCACTGTGATCGTGAGAGAGTTTGAGAGAGCTGCTCTGTGTGTTCATGTTTGTTTGTGGTTTTGCAGTCGGTGGAGGATCCAGAACTTCACAAGCTGCTCCTGGAAGATGCCACTGCTGGTGCTGCATGAACAAAAAAATAATAAATTATGCAGACAAGTACCAGCAACTGACTACTACTGACTGACTACAGCAAACCTTAGATCACCCACATGGCTCATACTTTCCTCCCATACATTTGTGTACACGCATTTTCATCATTCATTTTCACTACACACTCTTAGTAAATCCTGACAGTAGTTTTTAATGCCAAAAGAGAGATTTAGCATAAGCTGTTTTTTTTATGTAAGTGGTGTAGTCAGAAAAGTTATCATAGTTTTAGTGACAATTACATAAATTATATACCAAGCATGAAACATGTCCAGAGTTCTCTTGTTATTAGATTTTTAATAAAAATGTAATTTGTGCCAATTGGGAATTTTGCCCCATAGCCGTGCCTCCTGGGGGCGTTTTACCCCACCTGGCTAGGGGTGTTTTACCCACAGACTTAAATAACACGTGCTCCATATCTACAGGCCCTACTGTTCTCATATCATATATAACTGTGATGTTCTACAAAACAACAAGCTTTAAAACACTTTTTTTTCTTACTGCTGAAAGTTGGATCATTTACTGTGAAATTAGTTATATCTCAGATACATCACCAGTGTATGCTTCATGGTGAATATTTCTACATCACTCTTGTCAACGTAGTCTATAGCTACAATAAAAGTTGATCTTGACTTTATCTTGTGGTTATTTTGGGGAAAACATTTGGGGGCGTCTTACCACATGGGGGCGTTTTTCCCCACTCTACCCCCATCTCTTTCTATATATAGGCTAGATTCAGATCAGTGGGTGATACCTTTTATTGTCTTTTCAATTTTGTTGAGATCTTTGGATCTGCTCGCTAATTAAATAAATAAATAGCCCAAATGAATGAATGAGTGGAGCACTCAGGCATCAACCCTTTTTTTTACAACTTCTTTTACAAAAAAAAAAAAAAAAAAAAAAAAAGAATATTTGTTTTCATTTATGTCAAATTATGTCAGGTGTTTTTAGCTCTAAAGCTACAATGAAAGTCAACCACATGTTGGTTTAAACCTCACTGTCTTTTATTGTATAGATAAGAATTAGGATAAGGATATTTCTTCAAAATATATTTGCTTGTCCTAAAACATATTTTAATTTTATTAACATCAGTATGATTTTCTAATAGCAGCTGATGATAACCCAGTTCAAGTTTCAATAGGATGCCCATTTCTATGAACAAAAAGAGTAATTAAAATGGAAAAAGACAGACAGGGGCCACTTGTGCTTTTAGGGGGCACAATTTTAAAATTCATCTTAAACTACTTTAAGTAGCCTATTATTCATTCAGTCATGTTTCACCATGTCATGTATCGCTGCAATCTAGATGTAATGTGCAGTGCTTTAAAACGTGTATCTCTGCGAACGCAGATTTGAATTTAGCTGCTGGAGATGTATACAGGGAACCGCACCTGTATAAAACCCCACTCAAAAGTCCAAAGAATTACCCAAAAAGTACAGGGTAGCCTACACTCTTCACAGTTCAACCAACCATCGGAAAACCAACCACTGCCACCGTAACTGGAAAGTTTAGATGCGCAATAGGCCTACAGAAAGTGAAGCTTCCATCGTGTGATTTTTTTAAACAGTGAGGAGCTTCATTGAAAAATGAGCCTCTGTTTCATAGCCTACATGTTGTGGCTTCGTATTTGTTAACCGTGTCAACAGTGCAAAATACTGACTATAGCCTACGTGGGTAATGTAAATTTCAAATGAAACAAGGAAATATAAAAAAAACCAAAATCATTGACAGGAATCAGGCAGGGACAAAAGAGCTCCAACTTCAACACATCAGGAAAGAGTCATCTTACAGTCTGGACTGTAAATTATATACAATTACTCTAAGGTGAGTATAACGTGCTATTGAAAATGTAAGAACCATTTTAAAAGTAAAAAAGTGTTACTAGAATCGCAACAATTTGCTTTTATAGGCTAGAAAACATGCGCAGGTGAATTTTCACTTCCTAGAAACATTGATGCAGTCGACGAGAAACTGACAGTCAGCAATGTTGTTTCAATAATTTATTAGGCATATTTTAGAACTTGGCAAAGGAAAACAAATTGTTATGAATTTACATAACTATTATAAGAAACATTGCATTTGGGTCAGTGTGATTTTCTGATGCATGAGCACTACTTGTTTGTTTATCCTCCATCCCTCCCATCTGCAGCATGCCTCTGACAGTGTCTCAGGGAGAGGGAATGATGGTCATCAGCATCACCTCAAACCCAAAGAGCAAATGGCCCGTACTGTGTCAGATTCTGAGTTCTCTGAGCTATGGTCCAGTGTGTTTTGCATCTGAGGATATGAAAGAGAAGTTGACAGACACCCAGAGAGTTATTGGGGTGAGTGAGAGACTTGCACTGATTGAAATCTTGGTATCATTAAAAAAATATAAAAAAATGTGGATGCTTAGGTATGTTTCATATACTCTTAATTTTGCATATCAAGTTTAAAAGCTGGAGGTCTGTCAACTATCAACAAATATTGTTCTCTTATTTCATAGATTGTACAGATAGTAGTTGCAGTCATGAATCTTGTGTTGGGTTGTTTTGGCATCATCTTCTTTATTGCTACCACTTCGGTCAGCAGTATGGTAAGACATTCCTCATTCTGTTCATGTTTATGTTTCTAAATCAGATTAAAATGAACATGTACAGTAGCCTGTATAGCATAAGGCTGTAACAAAAACGCACACATATAATCATATGCAGTATGATTTGCTAGTTTTATGAAATTACCATGGGTGTGTTGATATAAAAATTCTCCTTTACTTTCCTTATATGTGCAGTTTGTAAAATCATCCTCCGATCTTTTTATCTAGGTGTTGTCGGTTCTTCAGCTCTGTGTGGTTGTCACTTTCTGTATTTTGACCATAAAATCTTTGTGCAAGAAGGGTGGGAGTGCAAAGGTACAGTGTTGTGCTTATAATAGACAGAACATGATTTCAAGATTTCATGATCCATGATTCATGTTCATGTTTGTCTGTGGTTTTGCAGTTAGTGGAGAAAACAGCTTCAGTATCTAGAAGTGGAATAAGCCAGTATTCACTTCCGTTTGGTGGCAGCAGTAGCATGACTCTTGCATCGTCTCAGGTGCGGGACTAACTGTTATTACCCAAAAATAGTTCACCCAAAAATTAAAATTGGCTAAAAATATACTCATCTTCAGGCCATCCAAGATGTAGATGAGTTTGTTTCTTCATCAGAACAGTTTTGGAGAAATTAAGCATCACTTACTCACCAATGGATCCTCTGTAGTGAATGGGTGCCGTCAGAATGAGAGTCCAAACTGCTGATAAAAAACATCACAATAATCCACACCACTCAAGCCCATCAAACATCTTGTAAAGCAAAAAGCTGTGTGTTTTTAAGATACAAATTCATCATTAAGACATTTTTGGGTGAACTGTTCCTTAAAACCTAAAGAGCAAATGGCCTTGTGTCCGATTCTGAATACTTTATGCGACTGTCCAATGTGTTTGTTTTTCAGGATATGAAAGATAAGCTGACAGACATTCACACAACACTTGGGGTGAGTCAGATCTTTTGGATAATATCAGCTTTAAGAAATGTTTTTTACTAGATGTATTGTTATCTGAAAACAGGTACAAATATTGTCCTCTGGTTTCATAGGCTGTACAGATAATGGTTGGTGTCATGAATATCAAAATGGGTTGTTTTGGCTTCATCTTTTCTTTTTGGATCGGTGGTGTGGTAAGAGTTGTTACTCATTCTCATCATTATGTTTCTAAATGAGTTCATGCAGTACAATGATTGAGTTCATTCAAAAAGTGAATCATTTATGACATTGATCTTGCTTTGAGAATACCCTACATTTATTGCGTTTTTGTATTTATTTTCATATTATTTTGATCAGAATGAGGTGGAATAATGTGAAATCTGGTGGTTTGTATTTACACTTTCAGTTTGAACAAGCATGTCTGGATGGACCAATGTACTTATTTGTTTGCTTTGCCTTTTAGTTCCTTGTTGTTGGAATTATGTATATTCTTGCAGTAAAGTTTTCCCGTCCTAAGCTGGTAGGTGTGAATCAAGAGTTCATTCATTCATTCATTCATTCATTCATTCATTCATTAAGCAACATCAATGTATATTGTTTGTGTTGTACAGCTGGTCATCACAGTGATTCTGAATGTAGTCAGTGCTGCACTGGCAATCACAGCTGCTGTGCTGTATTCAATGGACCTAGCAACGGGAAGCAGTTTAAGCTGTTACAGAGAATATTATTATTATTCATCTAATAATGACTGGCTTACCCAAAAAAAGAGTAACTTTGAGTCCTGTTTGTACTACAAGAATCTCAATCAGGTGATGATTTGATTTATTTATCTTTTTCAATGTTGTAAAAAACACATTTGTGTGTATTTTATTATTATTTAAGAGTACACTGATGTTTTTCCACCTCTAGATGATCCTCGGAGGACTAGATATCATGATGATAGCGCTGTCGGTCTTTCAGCTCTGTGTGACGATCAGTTTCTGTGTTTTGACTGGGAAAGCTTTGTGCAAGAAGGATGAAGATGTAAAGGTACCGCATCATCAGCACTATTATAACAATCATTGAGTCAAATCCCCTGTGATCGTGAGAGAGTTTGAGAGAGCTGCTCTGTGTGTTCATGTTTGTTTGTGGTTTTGCAGTCGGTGGAGGATCCAGAACTTCACAAGCCGGTCCTGGAAGATGCCACTCCTGGTCCTGCATGACACAGATAAAGATAAACACACAAATTTACAAAGTTATTCTTTTTTCTTGTAATGGAATGGCATTTTGTCTCTCATTATAATAGTGAAATGATGTCACTGCAGTACAATAATCATGTCCAAGCTACATCTACATTCTTGCATTTTCCTTTAACACGAATTGTTTCTGGAAAAAGGGAACTTTTGGACTTCTTTTTTAAATAAATGACTTTAGAATCCTCTGTGCACCCGTTTTCATGATGTTTGTTTTGTTTTTTCATACTAACCTGATGATTTCACCACCAGGTGGCGTGTATCACATTCAAGTCAGCTGCTGTTGAAAGTGTGAAGGCAGAAAAGAACCACCAGATTAATGCTTAATAAATATCTAATGGCAGTGCCCAGGTAAAATGGCCCAACAGGCTGAACCCAGCATTTAAAAAAAAAAAAGTGTATATTTGGCAATTAATAATTTTAAAAGACTATTACTGTTATGGATTCCTGCGCCATATATCACTTCAGCATTATGGCTTGGGTACATAGTTTATCATTTAATCTTTGTTTATTTGTTTATTTTAATTTTTTTATCACGGAATAGCCCTACAAACATACATCTCACAGCTGAGGTTGATTCATAGTCTCCACCACTCTAACAAACCTTCACAAAATACTGAATGTGTGCAAGCTTTTCCAAATGTACTATAAAATGCCTTTCTCTTTAGTTGTATCAGAACTAGAAACAACTGCTTTGCGATTGATTCACTGTTTTTCTACTTTCCTATTGATTGCCTTTATATAGAACCCCATAAGCTTGAAAATGAAAGTAAAAGATTTATTTGCTAAAATTATTTTCAATATTATATTGACACTTGACTTTAAACCCCCTGTAATTCAAGGGGGAAAGCCTTGTGGAACTGTTCCTGAAGGGAAAAAACACTTCTGCTTTTAACAGTGAAAAGAGCCACTTGCTTCGTGATTCACTGTATTCGCTGCTTATTAGTGATTCAAAATGAGTGAGTTTTCCGACATGGCCGTGGAAAGTGTATGACTGAGAACGTCACATCTGTGTTCACCTCCTATGGCCATGGAAGAAGCCTGTGTAGACATTTCAGTCGATGCGTGCCAGAGGTGGATCAGGATTTTACCCCAGGGCCAATATAGCTTGTGATGTTGAAGATTCTCTGGGCCGTCCCAAGACAGGATGCTGGGGCAGAATACATTATTTGTTGTTGTTTGGTTGTATTGTACTGTACATTAAGTAATAACAAATGTTCAAATGTATACCTTTGTTGTGTCTTTTGTTGTGTTCATCATGTGAAAATATTTTTGAGGGGGAGAACCACAAGCAACATAACTTATTACCAGTTTTTGTAGTATTGTTTTGAATTGATCTCACCAGTGTATAAGATTTCAATGTGATTCAAAAATAGGAAGTTTGGGGAATTGGGTGAGAATTATAGATAGAGTTTCGAGAAAAGGAGGCAGGGTTTTAAAAATGTGTTTAAGCAATCAAGAAAAGCATTTGCCCTCAGTTTTATTATGTCACATGAAATTAAATTTGTAAATGCTAAAGTTTAATCCACTTGTTGTGGGACTACAGTAATCATTTTTGTTGCATCGACTGAAACCAGGCAGTTTTTAGTAGTAGAGGGAAAGTCTTGTTAGTATTTAATGCTTTTATGTTTGTTGGACTTTTTGTGGTTACCATTGTGAGCACAGTGTTTGTGGTTATACCTAACATAAGTGCAAACTATGATATATGTTGCTGTCAATGAGTAATAACTGTGCCAGTAACAAGTAATTTCTCACTTATTCATTAAGTACTAAAAATGGCATTTCACAATTCTGTTATTAATGCACCCAATAATGATGTTTACACATCACTGTTATATTATGTTTTATTTGTTATACTTAATGCTCTTCAGCAAATACATCAGAAACATATATTTTACCACGTATATGAAACCCTCGGCAGTCAGTTCTCGGTATGTTGGACATGTCTGTATACTGTTCTCAGATCAGTACTGTTGGACTGAGTTTTGATTGAATAACTTGTAGATCTGTGCTGACTCGAGCAGCGAACTGTTTCAGATGTTTTAGTTCGATTTGGTGAACTGGTTCATCCATGTCTATGGTGGTTACAGCCCTGTGCTGAATTAAGATGCATTTTACTCATCAGTAAAATTCCCTTAGTTTAATTTCAAATGAATCTTTTCATCTGTGTTGAACCACTCAAAGGCTCACAGAAAGATAAGCCAAAACACTCAACTTTATCACTAAACTAAAGTGACAGGACCCTGACACTCAGCCACATTGCAAACTGCCAAATAATGAGTTTAAATACACTGAACAAAATTATAAATGCAACACTTTTGTTTTTGCCCCCATTTTTCATAAGCTGAACTCAAAGATCTAAGACGGAGAAGTGTTCACTAACACAGATTTAGACAGATTTGTGAACAATGTTTGAAAGAAATAGGCCTTTTGTGTACATAGAAAAAGTCAAAAACACAAAGTGTTGCGTTTATAATTTTGTTCAGTGTATTTAGATAAAATGTGCAATAAAAAAGAAAGAAAATTGTGTTAGTATTGCATTAATGCAAACAGGAAATTAACTGACGCAGGCAGAAATAACATGTATAAATATAGATATTATGTGTGAAAGCAATGATATGCCACACCTGTGAGGTGGATGGATTATCTCGGCAAAGAAGAAGTGTTCACTAACACAGATTTAGACAGATTTGTGAACAATATTTGAGAGAAATAGGCCTTTTGTGTACATAGAAAAAGTCAAAAACAAAAAGTGTTGTGTTTATAATTTTGTTCAGTGTATTTAGATAAAATGTGCAATAAAAAAGAAAGAAAATTGTGTTAGTATTGCATTAATGCAAACAGGAAATTAACTGACGCAGGCAGAAATAACATGTATAAATATAGATATTATGTGTGAAAGCAAGTGTGTGTGAGCACCTCCACAGACTATAAGAAGGGGTGCTTACTTTAATGTGAGAGAAGAGCGCTCAAGCACCTCGATGAGCAGCAGGAAGGGGAAACCAGCGCTGATAGACCTGACACATTCTATAAGAGACACGCAGACGGAGGATAGGGTAAGCTTTATCTGTAATTAAGTGAACTGTTCAAAACCAGGGTTATAATCGTTAACTGAAACTATCAAAAACATTTCTTTTAATTAAAAAAAGTAAAATAAAATAAAAACTATAATTTTGCTTTGTCATTAAATAAAAACAAATTAAACTTAAAAGAGTAATATTTAAAAAGAGCAAAAACTAATAAAAATGACAAAAGCACACATTATTAAACCAATAAAATATAATTTCAACTGAAAATACAAAAATAAGGGCTAAAAACTATATTAGTATAAAAATAAAAATAATTATTTTCCAGACAATACATGAATGCAGGCCTTTTCTATTTTCCTTTTTTTAGTGGCATACAAATTAGGTTTTCATCTCATATTTACTACAGGCTATTCAACACAGAACCAGAAGAATATTTTGATCAACATGATATAAGCAATGGATAACATAGGAGACAGAGGACAAAGGCACTGGCAATTTGTTTTAAAAAATTAGAAATTGCTTATATGATGTGCACAAGAGATGGTATGGAAGTTGAAGTCACTTTGATCTGACAAATGTACCAAAGCATCTGAGAAAAACCTGTAAAACATTAAACCAACAACATGGTGACGCAACCATAAGAGCAACTTAACTCTGATTATTTATATAATTAAATGAACAATGTGAAATATGGAAATACACTGCTGTGATCAACACTTGTTTCTGGGTGTCCATCAAGAATTGTGAGGTATTTTATCTTTTGTTGTTGTTGTTGTAGTAGTAATTTAAAGCCATATACAGGCGTGAACAATCCGATTCTTTATTTTTATTTTATTATTATTAGTAATTATTTTTATTCTTTTAATTTTAGCTGTCAACAATTTAACTAACTAACTAAATAAATAAATCAAATTTGGCCATTGTTTCATGCAATTCTCGTGTTGCCTTTGTAATGCATGTACAGCTCTTTGTAAATGCAGTTTTGTACTAATGTATTGTTTTATTTTGGGCTAACCTCAGGCAATGAAGAAGATGGGAGTTCCTGGAAAAATTCTCTGTGTCTTGATGCTGCTGTGAGTATAAAGTACTGATTTATTGTATTTTTATATGCTAAATTGGGTAGGTTATTGGGGTTTTGTTCATTAAGAAAGAAAACTACAACAGATGGAATGCTATTTATTCATATATTCATATTGAATACTGATCAAGAGCTGAATAAAGAATTTAATATAAAGCTATTTTTGTAACAGTACTCATCGGTGTCCTTGTGCTTTCAATATTTTGTGAGTTCTTTTGGGCAGGGTGATGATTATGATGTCCTTACCTGCCTCTGCACGGCTGAGGCTCACTCCATGTGCACACTTCCCTGTGTAGAGGAAATGCTGTAAAAAGTATTAGGACTGCACAGAAAATATCATTGTGCAATGAATGACTAATTCTGACTAATGTCAGAATGTCTGCCTGCTTTCTTCACTGACGTGTATTTAATAGTAGCCTGATTACTTTTAGATGAAGTTATTTCCCTTTGCATTTATTCATTTGACATTTATCCAAAGCAACTTACAGTGCATTTCAAGCAATACATGTCTGTTGACCTGATATTCTGATTCTGTTCCACAGACTACACAGCAGTATTCAGCAACAAGTCTTTAATGATGAGGAAACGCTCCATCTCCCTGCGAACTATACAATTAGCTGGATGGAAACTCTGGATGATCAAAAGTTAATTTCTGACATCACTCTTCCTGGTACCCATGAGAGCTTGGCCCTTCATGGAGGATTCATAGCAGAATGTCAGGCTTGGTCTCTAGAGGATCAGCTAAAGGCCGGGATACGCTTCTTTGACTTCAGAGTAGTTCCACTTGGGAAAAAATTGCTAATTATGCATGGACCAGTTTACCAATCTGCAACTTTAAAAAATGCTCTCAAGACAATTAAGACATTTTTATCTAAATATAAATCTGAAACAGTGTTGGTCAGAGTTAAGCCTGTTCTTTTTTTAAAGAACAAAGTTCCACTTTTAGTTGAAAATATGGCTAAAAATGACCCTGACTGCTGGACTGAAGAAACAATACCAAACATTGGTCAAGTAAGAGGAAAGATTGTATTTGTTCAGAAAAATGCTGTTCGGCTAGGTATCCGTCTATATGAAACTGATAGACATAATGACTATATAGTGACTAATGTTGAAAAAAAAATAATAATTATTATTAATCATCTGAATGACACTGCATATGAACAGTATAGAGCTGGTTGGGTTGTTTTGAACTATTCAAGTGGCACAGGCATACCTAGATTGAGTCTAACTATAAACCCCAAAAGCTTGGCAAAGCAAATCAACCCTTGGCTGTATAAACATCTCAATAATGAATCAAAGAAAACCAATCCCAAGCCTTGTTTTGGGGTGATAGCCATGGACTTTCCCGGCTTGGATTTGATTAAAAAGGTCACTGAATTCAATTAGTAGATGTTTCAGACTGTAATTATCAAATTAATATGCTGAGCTTCTGACTAATCCTGTTTTTTATATATTTTTTTTATTTAGTTATTTGAAAATCAAGCATGGGATGTGCAACTGACCTGAGCTTCTTGAGATGCTCTGTTCATGTTTATGATATAAAAGACACCACTGCTGGTCCTGCATGCTAGACAATAAGATAAACATAAAAAAAAAATCACAGTTATTCGTTTTGCTTGTCTCTCATTTTTAAATGATGTTATACCATCTAATCATCAAGCTACATCAAAAAAAAATGCCTAAAACACTTTCCTTACACCTTACATGTGAGTGTACGCATCTTAATCATTTTCAAACAAAAAAAAGAGTCAAATGTACACGCACATATTAGTAGTGAACATTTATTCAACAGATATTAACAATATTTGAAAGCAATAACTTATTTTAAAATAATGTTGTATTAGTATAATGGTTTGATAAGATGTTATTTTCTTTATTTACACTACCTGAGCAAGTTGCACAAAAGCATAAAAATTAATTTTATTTGTAAAGAACATATTAATAAATTGGTGTTGTGTTATTGACCCATATATTGCTTTTAATTTTTTGGGCAGGTAGAGTTTAGGACTTTTTATTTATGTATTTTAATGTCATCAGTTGTGATGGAGCCAATGCATTTTGATGATTTTGTTTAGCATAATGAAGATCTGATGAGTCAGAAAACCTAATTTACACTTTTCATTTCAGTGACTATGTTTGGACACTTAGAGGTTTTTAATGTTTTTTTTAGGTCCTTGTAATTGGAATTGTGACTGTTCTTGCAGCTAAGTTTCCAAGTCCTTTCCTAGTAAGTTGTCTATCAAAGCCATAATAAACTTATCAGTGTTTTTGGAAGTTATGCTGAGCATCACCGGTTTATATTGTTTGTGTTGTACAGCTGGTCATCACAGTGATTCTGAATGTAGTCAGTGCTGCACTGGCAATCACAGCTGCTGTGCTGTATTCAATGGACCTAGCAACTGGAAATAATCTGTATTGTGACACCAGTTATTACTCGTCTAACGGCTATGCTGTAACCCCTTCCACTGAGCAGATGAGGAGAACCGAGATCTGTGTGAAGTACAAGTATCTCAATAAGGTAATGTTTAATTTTTCGTTTTATTTATTAGATTGTGTAGGATCAAATGACTAAAGTTGGGGAAGCTATTTTAGTTTGTGGTTTCACAAGCTATTGGTAATTCAAAGATATTGCATGAATCTAATCTTTTGTAAAAGTACTTGAAGTTAGGAGGTCATATATTATAAAAATAAGTAATTATAGGATTATATAATTCATAATTCAATCACAGCCATATCACCCTGCAGCCCCAGACTGGTTACCCACTGAAGCTAAGCAGGGTTGAGCCTGGTCAGTACCTGGATGGGGGACCTCCTGGGAAAACTAGGTTTCTGCTGGAAGAGGTGTTAGTGAGGCCAGCAGGGGGTGCTCACACTGTGGTCTGTGTGGGTCCTAATGCCCCAGTATAGTGATGGGGACACTATACTGTCAAGAAGCACCGTCCTTCGGATGAGACGTTAAACTGAGGTCCTGACTCTCTGTGGTCATTAAAAATCCCATGGCACTTCTCGTAAAGAGTAGGGGTGTACCCCGGTGTCCTGGTCAAATTGTCCCCCTGGCCTTTGTCAATCATGGCCTCCTAATAATCCCCATCCACTTGATTGGCTCTATGACTCTCTCCTCTCCACCTGTAGCTGGTGTGTGGTGAGCGCACTGGCGCCGTTGTCCTGTGGCTGCTGTCGCATCATCCAAGTGGATGCTGCACACTGGTGGTGGTTGATGAGAGACCCCCCACATGATTGTAAAAGTGCTTTGGGTGTACAACAATACACAATAAAGTGCTATATAAATGCATAATTAATTCATTCAACCAGAGCAGTATTACTCTGAATCAAAAATGGCAAGGGTTCTTGAATTACATTGTTTCAAATTGAATTAGAGTGGATGTTTGTACTGTATTTCATATAGGCCTTATCGACCATTACCTACCTCAAATGATCTTTACCCACCTCTAGATGATCCTCGGAGGACTAGATATCATGATGATAGTGCTGTCGGTCCTTCAGCTCTGTGTGACGATCAGTTTCTGTGTTTTGACTGGGAAAGCTTTGTGCAAGAAGGATGAAGATGTAAAGGTACTGCATCATCAGCACTATTACAACAATCAATCAGTCAAATCCACTGTGATCATGAGAGAGTTTGAGAGAGCTGCTCTGTGTGTTCATGTTTGTTTGTGGTTTTGCAGTCGGTGGAGGATCCAGAACTTCACAAGCCACTCCTGGAAGATGACACTCCTGGTCCTGCATGTTAAAGAAGCAAAATATAAAGCAACAAATATATACAGTACACACAACACCACTCAATATAGTAGTGAGATGATTTCCAATATGTTTATTCTTATCAGGTGTTTTCCTTAAAACATTTGGTTACTGCTAGTAAATGAAGTGCTGCATTTTGAAATAAATGTCTTGAGCACTTTGGCACCATATATATACATTTAGATAGCACCTCCTGACTATAGCTTAAAATGCGTACAAGTTTACATTATTTATCTCCGTTCAAATCTGACCTTAGATGGAACAGGTTTTCACCCCAGTCTGACATTTAAAGCAATAGTTCACCCAGAAATGAAAATTTACTGAACATTTACTCACCCTCAGGCTATCCAAGATGTAGATGAGTTGGTTCCATCATGGGAACAGATTTTTTTAGCATTGTAGAAAAGTAGCATTACATCACTTGCTCAGCAATGGATCCTCTGCAGTGAATGGGTGCCGTCAGAATGAGAGTGCAAACAGCTGATAAAAACATCACAATAATCCACATCACTCCAGTCCATCAATTAATGTCTTGAGAAGTGAAAAGCTGCACGTTTGTAAGAAACAAATCCATCATTAAGACGTTTTAACTTTAAACCATTGCTTCTGGCCAAAATACAAGTACATTTTCACCTAATCTGCTCCCATGAAGAAGCAAACTCCTCTACATCTTCAACGGCCATTGGGTGATTACATTTTAAGCACATTTTCAAACTATTTCTTTGAGAAAAATTCAAAACTTACCTTTATAGTATTGAGCTTGAATGTAGTAAAAAATATTTAAATGATTTCTCATTTTCAAGGATATTGAAAGTCTTTTTCTTACATAAAGATATAAAACATTTCAGAACAACATTGACTTCACTAGTATTATCTTTTTGTGGCTATTTGCACGATTTCACCACCGGGCGGTGTAAAGATGCTTGAGTTTTATGCAAACCGTTTGCCTTAAAAAATACATATCTTTACCAAGGCCACCATACAGAATTTTATGTTATTAAAAGTTGGAAGAAATTCCACAACTACCACTCAAAACTCTAAATATTGAAATTGAAAAGCTATTTCACAACATATAAGATCTAATTATCTACATTGTTGTGTAAATTCCGTTATTAATGAACCAATAAACCTCATATATACACTTTGTCCATCACCGGTAGCTGTCATAAGTAAACACAGCCCTTACCTCTCATTAATGGGATGTGTAATGCGAGGTCCAAGGTCCACGGCGAAACTTCCTGATCAGCTCAGCAGGGTTTTCACCACTATGAGGTCCGCACAGGAGATTTATGAACTAAATTCAGATAATATGTTACCCTTAATAAATTACTCAGAGTCTTGATTAAAAGAAAGTTTATCGAATCACCATATACAAATGGTTTCGCTTTATTAAAAACAATAACTCATAAGCAAAATTCAAGAAAATAACAGTAATCTTCACCCGTTTCTCGGCCCCGCAAAATCATAAAGCACTTGATTATATAGGAGAAGGCGTTACAATTCTTCTCCTGCAAAGCATCTATTCAAACACTCCATTGGATAAATGCAAGACACACGAAACATTTGGTCACATCCCTTGTTTCAGCGAGTTGCAATTCTATTACATCATCACTCTAAGCACAGCACACACACTCGCATACATCTCCAAAAATACATACGGAGAAGTTCAAACAGAGTTTATCTCCGACTCGCTAACACAGGATGTCTGACCTTTATATGCTACCCACAATTATGCATCTACTTTTCTACAATGCAGCAACACCTTTGCAAAAATATACGAGCAGGTTTTCACACCTTAACATTTTCCATTTTTCTGTTAACCCACATAGTGACACCTGTTCTTGCTTTTGACAGGATGCCAGTCTAACCGTTTATACTCTTAGAAGTGGCACTGACTTTTTGAATCCTCAAACAGTCAACCTCACTTCGCAAAGTTTCCATTTTCAAATTAAACTCATTAACTTCAATAAATTGTTTAACCCTTTTCATCAACCGTTTATTTATACGTTCATGTTGACGAATTATCCGTAGAAGTTCCCTTGCCATCAGGAGGATGTCCATCGTCTCTTGTTCGGTCACTTCTTCTCTTCTTCTCCATTTCTGCTTTCTTTTTTGCGCTCCGATGATGTCTCTTCTGCATGGAGTCTAAAAGCAGATCATTAATAGGAATCTCTAATTTATCTTTTTGGTTCAGTCTTCGAATATGTGGGGTTTGACCGGGAAATTGAATAATTCCTATTTCAACATACGTGGTCATTCTTTCTCTTTCTGTCTAGTTTTCTGTGGAGTTGCCATGTGTATATTTAAGCATTCTTTGATGGCTGGGTATACATTTGACTACGTTTGCTGCCACTTCTGACACTGACAAGATTATTATTCTTTTTTTTAATCATTTTGATTGTATAATCACAGCACCTTATATAGCATCATAAAATAAACTGGTATTACTTTTGCTATAATTTTTGTCTTACTGTCCTTCTTATTACAAGAAAATGTAAATGAGAAAACGTGAAATAATACTAGCTCAGTTACCCGTGCTTCCTCCTGCACTCATTAGTTACTCTTACTGGGAGGTCAGTTGTCTTGACCAGGAATAAACTTACCTGTTTTTAGATTTTTATTCTACAGGTATGTCTGCGGTTGAGCTTCAGTGGGATTACAGTGATGCTGAAACACTGTGTGCCACTGTTTTTCCTTGCAGGAGTTTCACTAATTTTAATCAGCTGAAACTGTCACCAAGAGTCAGTACTTCAAATTAAAGGGATAGTTCACCCAAAAATTAAAATGTGATGTTTATCTGCTTACCCCCAGGGCATCCAAGATGTAGGTGACTTTGTTTCTTCAGTAGAACACAAACGAAGATTTTAAACTCAACCTGTTGCAGTCTGTCAGTCATATAATGGCAGTCAATGGGCTCCACGGCTTTGAGAGTAGAAAAAAAAAACACAGACAAAACCAAATTAAACCCTGTGGCTCGTGACGATACATTGAGGTTTTAAGACACGAAACGATCGGTCTGTGCAAGAAACTGAACAGTATACAATTTTTTACCTCTGATCCATCGCAATGTCTGAGCGCGTTCACAACATCCGGCGAGTGACGCATGTACGTGCTCTGGCATAGTAGAGAAAGATATATATAAGTAGATGCCTCATTAGTGACTGTTTCTATGGGCCGCGATATGTTCCAAAATGGAGGATGCGTCAACGTATCTGGAGCGGTCGAATAGGGAATCTATACATATCTATGATAGTAGACGCATGTGCGGAAGCGAACTGTCGCGCGTAAACATCACTCATTATTTACACAGTGCAGAGATTGCCGACGTGTTCACTGGCACTGCGATGATCTAAAGATATTTAGAAGTACAGGTCATCACAATGGAAGACGATTTTGATGTATCATCAGACAGCGTGGAATTTTTTGCCCAACCTTATTTATTTGACGTCACGCGACGGATGTTGTGAACGCGCTCAAGACAGTTGGACATTGCGGTGGATCAGAGGTAAAAATTATATAAATACTGTTCAGTTTCTTGCACAGACCGATCGTTTCATGTCTTAAGACCTCAGTGTATCGTCACGAGCCGCAGGGTTTAATTTGGTTTTGTCTGTGTATGTTTCTTTTACTCTCATAGCCATGGAGCACATTGACTGTCTTTATATGACTGACAGACTGCAACGGGTTGAGTTTAAAATCTTCGTTTGTGTTCTACTGAAGAATCAAAGTCACCTACATCTTGGATGCCCTGGGGGTAAGCAGATAAACATCATATTTTCATTTTTCGGTGAACTATCCCTTTAAAGTATTTTCATATGCATATAAAGGCATTTATCCTTGCTGTGACATAGTTTCCATGTTCAGTTCATTCACATCTGTCTGATACTTTGACATCTTTGTGATGATGTAAAGATTTATACGGTCTATGTGCTCTGTGATCTTATTTATACAGTCCAGATGGAGTTTAAGTTGTTGAAGGTTTGCATTAAGAAACAAATAGTTTTTCTTTGCTTTTTCATAGGCCATTTTCTTTTCAGTTAATCAGAATCAGCTTCTGTTGTTTGTGCCAGAAGCGTCTGCATTTGGAAACACAGCGATTATAAACACACAATGACATAATTACAGTTAAAAGGGCACAGAATAGTGTGTGTACTATGAGTTTCAAAGGTAAGAACATGCTCAGAAAAATAAGTAAATATAAATGTACAAAGTTTACATACTGCATTTTTTTAAACAGCACATTAGTGCTCATGAAAAATATGACCTTTGAGGGAAAAAAAATCTTACATCTGGGCTGCGTTTCCCAAAAGCATAGTAAGCCTCTGCTCTGGAGCCTGGTTGCGACCAATGGAGCTATACGATCAGCTTAGGCTTACGATGCTTTTGGGAAACCAGGGTACTATAACCCTGGATGTTATAGTACCCACCGTGTTTGTATTTTTTCATGGCATGACAAACCTATAAAATTTTCTTTTTGAAACTAAATGAGGGTGTGTAAATAATGCCAGGATTTTCATTTTGGGTGAACTATCCCTTCAAGAGTGCGTTTAATAAATTAGTTATTGACTGCCTACTGATAGTATACTTGATATTCCAGACTAAAATGAACAAAGCTAATGACATTGATTAGTCAGTATTGAATTTTTTAAAAATCAAATGCTAAGGCTGTTTGCTTTTTGTCATGCATATGCTATATTACCTCTTGAGTCCAGTCATTTGCAGATCATGGTTTGTTGGTGTGTTTTAGTTGCACTTTTCCAACTGTAAGTTGGTTTGCTGCAAAGGAAATGGATTGAATTAATTGATTTTGAAAGTGTCTTCATAGCTTTTGTCCTGTCAGATGTGGTTTTGCTGGGCTGTGACGTAAGCTAAGGCTTTTGGTTGTAATATGCTACTGACACAAGGCACAGCTGCTGCAGCATTTACTCTACCCAGATGCAGTGATGAGAAGCTGCTGGCTGTGGAAAGTACCAAAACACCACAGATTTCTTCCTCAGTGACCGGTGAAGCAGTTGTGCAATACTGAAGGGGCATCGTCCTTTGAATGAGACTTTAATGTGCATATAATAGCTAACATCAAAGATGAAAATTATCATAATTATTGCCTCGATTAAAGTCTTTTTAAAGTCATTTTAAGGTGTAAATGTGTTAAATTAATTTATAGC